GTTGTCGGATCCGGTTCGGATATTGGATCCGGATATCCGAAGATTTCCAACTATCCGACAACCTTAGTTGGATACATTTATTTTATCAGGGGACTTGCAGGGACATAGGATTTTGAGGAATAATGATGGATTGATTGAGATTCACATATATTCTCTCCCAATTCTTATATATTACGTCCAAATTCCGAGATCCCACGAACTTTTATGAGTAAACTATACCGGAAATTTTGATTGTCTGGCACCAAAGTAAATAAAAAGTTGCCTTTTTGCCCCGCAGGCAAAAGGCTCTTATGTTTTATAGTGATACGAGAAGGAAAATTCACTAACCTAAATCGAAACTTTAGAATTTTATAAGAAAAATCGATTAAATTTCGAAGTTGAAAAATATTCGAGTGGACAATAGGTTCATCCAATCTCTGATTTTTACCTATGAAAAATAGAATGGCCACCTCCATTAGAATGGCCCCTCCAATAGAATGGCCCCTTTTTGGGGGTATCGAAAAATAGAGTGGCGGCCACTCTATTAGAATAAATACGGTAAATTATTATTACAAACAATATATACAATTAATAAAATTTCTGATCGAAAAATAATAAAAATATTTTTAAAAATCCCAGGCAAGTCAGTCTCGTAACCGACCAGCATTATACAAGCGCATAGAAAGGCATACCCTCCGCTCCGTGATATACTCACCGGCATTGCCTCTTGGGCTCCTTAATATCGCACACAACCCAGTCAAGATCCTAATACAATCTTGGCCCGGCACGAGCTTTACTTTATATTGAAATATTCAGTTGTATTAATAAAATTAAAAAATGTTTACTAATTGTTTTGAGCTTATATTAATTTGGGACGCATATAATTTTGTGGGACGCAGATACTTTTATGGGACACATATATGTACTTCATCGGCGTATATACTTTCATGTGGCGTATATCATAAGATGTCCTAAATTATTGCACTTTTATTCATACTCACAAATTCTGGTTTATATAAATGCAATTTTTTATTTAATATATTATTTTTCATTTATTTTTAAATTTTAAAAATGTTGAAGATGAAACTTACAAGTTATTTAATAGTTTCAATCTTCAATGCAATATTATGGACATCTATTAAAACTACTCCAATTCGAAGAGGCTTAGCTAGACATGTTGAAAAGGATTTCACAGCATCTAAAATATTAAATGATGGGGCTGAATCGTCGGTTAATCCTCAAATCAAAGCTGTTGAGCTGTTTAATTACCCAAGTTTAAGTTTAAGAAATATTTAAAATGGCACAATCTAAAGAAATTAAAGAAATTCTTGCTAAACTTCAAACTATTCAACAACAAATTAATAAATTAGACGACAAGGTTGAAACATTAAATACAGCAGATATTATTGAAAAATTGGAAAATATATCAACGACTATAGAAACAACAGCAATCAAAGCTGTTGAGGATAAAGAAAGACAACGTAGTCTTGTCCTTATAGGATTAAAAGAATCAACAGCAGTTCGGCCAACAGAGCGTGCGAAAGCTGACGAGGAGGAGGTTTTACGCGTTCTGGACGCGCTGGACGTCCAGACATTGCCATTGGCAGTGTATAGAATGGGAAATCCAGCCAAAGCAGGTCCAAATGGTCGTTTAATTAAAGTGATACTTCCCAGTACATCTTTTCAGCGAATTTGTTTGGCTCAGTGGAAAAAGAAACGTCTTGAGATTCGATCCATGGAAAAATGGACCAAATTACTAATAAGACCTTCACTAACTGCTGAACAACTACGCTTAGACAAGGAAGAGAGAGACAAACGCAGAATCGATTGGCAAGAAAGAAATAAGAATAATACTGCTGGAGACAACGTTACAAGACGTACAAAAAACTATTAGGTAATTTTGAGATCAAATTATACTATTTTAATTCAAGAAGTGTTACAAACAAAATTGACACTCTTAAATTCCTAATGCAAAAAAATTCCTTTGAAATAATATTGATAACTGAGAGCTGGCTAAATCATAAAACTTTAGACTCATCCATAATAGAAAACTCAAAATATTCATTAATACGTAACGATAGAATTAATTCTAAAAAAGGCGGCGGGGTTTTAGCAGTTATTTCAAATTCTATTCCCTTTAATGAAATTAAAACCTGCAAAAATTCTCACTATGAAATACTATGTTTTGACATATATTCACCTTTTACTTCCCAGAAACATAGATTTATATTAGTTTATCTCCCACCACCTGTAAACAAAATACAACAAAATTGCCTTGTTGAAAAATTACAACAATTAACCAGTATTGATTATACATACTCTATCATTGGTGATTTCAATATTCCTTATATACCCTGGGGTAGCGAAAATTTAATAGAAATTAAAAATGATAATATTTTACTAGAATTTATAAAATACTCTCAACTAGAACAAATTATAAAATTTCCTACACGCCAAAACAATTTTTTAGATTTAATATTTACTAATTCACTTTCCTCCTATAAATCCATAAATATGACTGAACCAATACAATCAAACATATACCAGTCCGATCATAATGGAATAGAAGTCATTTTCAATTTCATAAAAACCAAAAATCTTAATCAAAATTATAAAGATTATATAAACTGTAACTATAATATCATAAACAACTATCTAAATTCAATAAACTGGAATTTATGTTTTGCAAATTGCATAGACATAAATCACCTGTATTCCACCTTCCAAAAAATAATTTCTGAAACTATAGAAAATTTGATACCAACAAAATCTAGAAACAGTAAAAATTTATTACCAAAACACATACAATCATTAATTGAATACCGTCGTAAACTATTTAAGGATAAAAGTTTACACTCAACAGAAAAATTTAAAATTGCATCATTAAAAATAGATAAAGAAATACAGAAATACTTTAGAAATCGTGAAAATAAACGATTAAAAAATATTCGAACTAAATATACTCATATTACAAACCTTTTAAAGACAAAAAATACACAAATTCCAATACTCTTGGACAATAATAAACTTCCTCTAATATCAGCTAAATCTAAAGCTAATCTCTTTTCAAACTATTTTTCACAAATTCTCTCTCCATCCAATCAAAAATCTCTAATCCACAAACCTTCTCTCACTCCAAAATCTTCTTCAAATAAAAATAACCTCATTAACACACACACAAACAAACCATATTTAAACTTTATACAATCATTTCAAGAAGATATATTCTTTATATTAAAATCGTTAACAAATAAATCAAATATATCGACAGATATGATTCCTGAGATATTTTTAAAAAATTGCTCACAATCACTTGCTTACCCTATCTACTACATATTTAACTATATTACAATGAGCGCAAACTTACCCGATATCTGGAAACAGTCCATAATTATACCCATTCCGAAAAATAAAAATTCATCCTGTCCTTCAGACTACCGGCCAATATCTCTATTATGTCCAATCTCAAAAGTCTTCGAAAGATTATTATACAATCAATTAATTAATTTTATAGAAAAATATGAAATTATCCCTAACGTCCAACATGGATTTCGAAAAGGGAAATCAGTAACCACACAACTTTTAGAAACATTCAACGACTTTTCGATTGCTTTGGAAAATAAACAATTTATTGATGTCATATATTTTGATTTTAGTAAAGCCTTCGACACAGTTCCACATGATAAACTTATAAATAAATTACACAAAATTGGAATAAGGGGATCTTTTTTACAATTGCTAAAAAATTACCTCACTAATAGAAAATTTACTGTGATGATCCAAGATTATAAAACTGATTTAATGGATATAAATAGAGGCGTCCCACAGGGGTCAATACTAGGGCCATTATTTTTCCTTATATACATATCAGATCTACCCAGTTTCTGTGAAACAAAGGACGTAAAGATAAAATTGTTTGCAGACGATCTTAAAGCATACTCATTCTCTAAAAACACTAAAGACTTTGAAATTAACCTACAAGAGTTTATCAAAAAACTAGAAAAATATGCTGAGGAAAATTCACTCAAACTTTCAGCCGAAAAAACATCTCTTTTACACATAGGGCCTAAAAACCCTTTGCACACATACACACTCAATAATCAAAAGATAAAAACAGTCTCAAATCAAGATTCTATAAGAGACCTTGGCGTTTATTTTTCACACGATTTAAAATGGGAAAAGCACATCAAAATTATAACTAACAAAGCAAATCAAACAGCATTTACAATAATAAGAAATCTAAAAACTAATGATCCTAAAATATTACTCGAACTATATAAAATATACGTATTACCCATAATAGAATTTGCATCGCCCGTTTTCAATCCATATCTTAAAAAGGATATCGAACACCTTGAACAAATACAAAAAACTTATTTACGTATTATATACAATAGGTCAAATCCACGCACACCAATTCCAGAATATCAAGACCTTCTACAAATTTTTAAGGTAGACTCGCTACAAATTAGAAGACTCAAAACTGACTTTAAATTTTTCCACAAAATTTTACATGGTGAAGTAAAAATCGATCAAAAAGAAACATTTAAAATTACAAAAACTAATACAAGGGGAGACGAATATAAATTTTTTATTCCGGCAAGATCAAATCAAATCAGCCATAATTCCTTTTTTGTTAGGACAGCGCGGCTATACTCTCAGTTACCAATATCAATACGTAAATCAAATTCCAAAATATTCAAAACACTTCTTGATCAAATAGATCTCAACACATATTTATCACGCCCCACACCCGTAACATAATACAATCACATATATTTGTTGTACCAATTATTGACATATATTTGTTTTAGTTTAATTTTCAACTTGACTTAATTTATTTTTTCAATCCATATATGTATTTTCAAATTTGTAATGTCGCCCAAGAGGCAAATAAATAAATAAATAAATAAATAAATAAATTCAAAAATATAAAGAAGAGTTGAACGAAAAATTAAAAAATGCAAAAAATGCCACTTATCAAGGAGAAAACAAAGTGTCTAATAGAAGTGAATATTATAAAGAATATTACAGGGAAAATAAAGAAAGGTTGCTTAAAAATAATCGAAATTACCGAAAACTAAATAAAGAAAAGGTATCTGAGACCAATCGAAATTACTATATAAGGAATAAAGAAAGGATAAAAAGTGATAAAAAGGTTTACTATCAAGAAAATAAAAAAAGTATACGGGATTACCAAAAAGAGTATAACAAAAAGAACGAAGAAAAACGCAAAAAATATTTTCGAAAATACCGTCAAAACAAGAAAAATAAATCTGGTAATAACGAAGGAACTTCAAATGTTAATAAACAGACTGATGATTTTATTAATAAAGGTAAATTACCAATTGTTTGCGAGGAGAATTCTGATGAAGAATATCTTTTTAATCAAAGGGAGGAAGAATGGAGTAATGGCGAGGATCGGGAAAATCAAATCGAGGTTGAAGAGCCAAATAAAATTATTGAGGATGACATAAATACTGTTGATTCAAATAAGAAAATGCATCCTTTTGATTTGAACGAGAGACCTTTGGATCTGAATGAGTTACCTGGGGATGAGAATGTGAAGATAAAGGTAAATTACAAATTTTTTGTATGGTGGTAGTAAATCTTTTTAATTAAGGAGAAGATGATGAAATCGAGATAGAAGAGCCAAATAACATTCTTAAGGATCACACAATAGATTTAAATAAAAAAATTCATCCTTTTGATCTGAACGAGTTTACTGATGTTGAAGATTGTGAAGATTATTAAGAAGACGGCTTTGCTTCCGTTAATGCGTTCTAGCTAGAATTGGATTTTTTCTATTATTTTTCCGAGTTTGTATTAATTAACCAGTCCAAGAAAATACAAATAATTGTAATATTCCATTCCGGAAAGTTTGATTTTTTATTTAACAGAAAAATACATAAATTATTATTTACAGCTAATAATACATTTATACAAATAATATATGAAATTTCTTAGAAATCCTTTTCAGACAATAGCCATCTCCCCCTTACTTCTTCCTTATTCCCTTCATTTAAATGTTTGTCGATGACGAAATTGAAGAATTAAAGATTTGAAATATTTTTGATATTTTTTATTTTGTTTATTATTTTTGGAGGTGACTCAGTGAGTCACTTTCCATTTTTGACAATTTTTTATGTACTTTTTTGCAATGTACTTAACATTGCATCATTTTTATATAGAAATTTTTGCCTATAAAAAGTAGGCAGAAATTTCACTTTTCAATGTCTTTTGAGATATTCATTTTTTTTAATATTCTGTGTGAATATTTATTTTGTTTGAAGATAAAGAATTTTAGTTGTGTTTGTGTTTATTTATTTAATTTGTTTTATCTAGTTAATTATTCCGAGGGAATAATTAATTTAAGATATTTTAATTCCCTATTAAAGAATAGGAAGGTGAAATAGTTTTCCCTAAGAAAGGGGAAAGTATTTTTACATTTGGTGCCACGACCCAACGGCGGGTTATTAAAGAAAAAGTTAGAAGAATAAATTGAAGAGCTATAGGCTCAATTGATTTATTGGAAGAGCCGTGAAAAGGAAAGGCTCAGTAAAAAAATATTATTGGAAGAGCTGAGATTTGGAAAGCTCGGTAAAAAAGGATTTAAAAAAGAGATTAATTGGGAAATATTGGAATAAAATAAATTAAAAGATGTCAGGAACGATTAGAAGTACTATTGCGCCATCCATAGTACGATTGAAAAAATACCTTGAAGAGGTAAGACCTATCATAGATGCCACTGAACGCACTGAAGAAGGAGTAGAGTTACTCCAAAGAATGGCAGTTAAAATCCGTAGGGCAATTAATTTCGTGGAAGAAAAAGTTGAAAAATGGGAAAAATATATTAAAGATTTACCGGCAAATGAAAGAGTTGCCGAAGAAGGTGTTTTTGCTAGATATGCCATAGAGGAACGGCATTTTTTAGAATGGATAGACTCAGGAAGAGAGGCTATCGATGACATAGAAATTGTTCTTGCTGAAGGTTCTGATGCTCGTAGTACGCAGTCAGAGATCTCAGAGGAAATAGGAGTTGGCTTAAATCGGACAAATGAAGTCCGCAGAAATATAAATGTAGAGCAAGTCCCAGTTAGAAGTGAGCAGGTGCTTCCACCTCATCTTCCGCGGACTAGACTGCCAGAATTTTATGGAGATACTCTACGTTGGCCTGAATTTTGGCAGGCTTTTGAGAGAACGGTGGATTGTTTGAATATTGATAACGGGCTAAAGGCCCACTATTTGATACAATGTCTTAGAGGTAAGGCAAAAAGGGCAATTTTGGGTTATAGGCCAATATCAGAACATTATGCGCCTTTGAAAGATGCTCTTATAAGACAATTCGGAAATGAAAAGGCAATTAGAGATACACTGCATGCCGAACTAATTAGCTTGCCAGTGGCTAACGAATCAATATGGTCTTTACGTTCATATCTCGAGGAGGTTGAACGAATTTGTAGATCATTGACTGCTATGGGGCAATTAGAAGATGAATCTATAGTTATGATGGCAATTAAGAATAAATTGCCAAGAAGTATTGTTCTAGAATTATTAAAAATGGAAAAATTGGAGAAAGTAAATTGGAGTGTAGGAAGATTAAGAGAAGGACTTGCAGAAATTGTGGCCTTAAGAGAAGAGGCACAAAGATGCACGAGGTCATTGGCATATAAAAATAGTTGGCAAAATGTGCCGAATCTTAATCAAAGGAGATTTAATGGAAACACAAATAATCAGAGAAAACCGGAACCTGCGCGTGTATTTACAGCGCCAAAGAACCAAAAAAGAGAAATTTCATGTTTGTTTTGCAATGGTCCACACTTAGCTGGAAATTGTAAGCAAGTCAGATTTATTGGACAGAGAATGAGCATTCTGTCTGAACAAAATAGATGTTTGATTTGTTTAAGGAAAGGCCATGCCAAAATAGATTGTAATGTGAAATATAGTTGTGGTATATGTAAAGGAGACCACAATAAAATAATCTGTCCTAAAGAAGTTGAAAAAGAAAAGAAAGGACAGATTAAGGAAAATGAAAGCGTTAATCAAATAAGTGAAAATATGCTTAATATTGATGATAACGGCGAAGATAATATTGTTTTGATGAAAGCAGATTTAATGTTAAAAGAGAGAAATAATAAAATAAATGCAAAATGCTTCTTTGATTCAGGAGCAACAGTTAATTTCTTATGTAATGAACTTGTTGAAAAATTAAAATTGAAAAAATTAAAAAGAACAGAATTAGGAGTTGTCCCATTTTTCAGAAAAGAGCCAATAAAGCTAAAAACTTCGTGTTATTCTTTAAAGGTTCTTCTTGATAATGGAAATTTTGAAGAAATAATAGTTTATAGTATTAATAAGAATTTGATGCCAAGATTTAGATGCGCAGACTTAAGAACAAATGAGATTGCTTGCGCAAATATAGTCCCTGATATGCTTATAGGTATGAAGCATTTCTGGAGGTTCTTTAAAAGAATAGAACCATTATCGGACTATCTATTTAAAGTTGAAACGACTGTAGGGCCAATAATTTGTGGCGAAATTAGCGGTGAAAAATTTAAAAGATTAAATAAAAAGGAAAATTTGTGTACTATATTAAGTTCTAACACTTTGGAAAATGAGGAACTTAACAATTATTGGTCATTAGAGACAATAGGAGTCAAAGATGATCCTGTGTGTAAAGATGATAAAGTTGCTTTAGATTTATTTAATAGTACGATTAAAAGAAATGAAAATGGAAGTTATATAGTAAAATGGCCATGGAAAATTGAGAAAGACAATTTGCCATCTAATTTTTCATTGGCATATAAAAGATTTCTAAATCTCATGGATAAATTAAAGAAAAATCCAGATTTATTAGATAAATACGAGGAAATAATTAATAATGATTTGAAAAGAGGTGTGATTGAAAAGGCTGAAAAGAAGAAAGGGGAAATAGAACATTTTCTGCCCCACCACCCTGTTATTAATACAAAAAAGGTGCGCATAGTTTATGATGCTTCCGCAAGAATGCGAGAAGGAAAAAGCTTAAATGAATGTTTATATCGAGGGCCAATAATTATGCCGGATTTAGCAGGATTATTAATTCGATTTAGAGTGCCAAAAATTGCCATGTGGGCTGATATTGAAAAGGCATTCCATACATTAGAATTGGAAGAAGAAGATAGAGAAGTGACTAAGTTTATATGGGTAAAAGATACGAAGAAACCCATATCAACCCAGAATATTCAATATCTAAGATTTGCAAAAGTTCCCTTTGGGGTAATCTCGAGTCCATTTTTGTTATCAGCGACTGTCAGACATCATTTAGAGAAGTGTGATGACCCTGTTGCAAAGATTGCTAAAGAAAATTCCTATGTGGATAATATATTTATTGGAGTAGAATCGGCCAATGAAGCTTGGCTCGCTTATAAAAGATTAAAAGAGATATTTAGAGATGCTCAAATGAATTTAAGAGAATTCATCAGTAATAATGTGGAGCTTAATGAAAGTTTCCCACTCGAAGATAGGCTGGAGAAGAATAAGCCTAAAATTTTGGGAATACCATGGGAAATATCTTCAGATAAGATAAATATTGTATTTCCAATAGTGAATTCGGCTGAAAGCGTGACTAGAAGAATAGTTCTTCGTGAATTAGCAAGCATGTTTGATCCATTAGGACTTGCTTCACCTAGTCTTTTATCTGCAAAATTATTCTTTCAGTCATTATGGACTAAAGAGAATAAGTGGGATGATAAAATTAGTAAGGAAAATGCAATGAAATGGATAGAAATCACTAGGTCATGGACACTAGATCCCATCGAGATTAATAGAAGAGTGACTGATATTAAAAGTGTAAAACAATTGCATGCATTTTCTGATGCATCTAAATGTGCTTATGCTGCTTGCATATACATAAAATCGGAATTTGAAGGAAAAATTCATACACAGATATTATATGCACGAAATCGTTTGAAACCTAGAAAATCAGAAGTAACAATACCACGCATGGAACTTTTAGGCGTGGTTATTGCTAAAAGAGCTTTAGAATTTGTAGAGAAACAAATCGGAGTTGAAATTAAAGATAAATTTTTATGGTGTGATTCAAAGCCGGTATTAAGCTGGATAAAGGCAGGAGGCAAAAATGAAAAATTTATAGAAAATAGAATAAATGAAATAAGAAAAAATAATGGAATTAAATTTGGATATGTTAATACGATTGATAATCCAGCAGATATAGCCACTCGCGGTATAATGGCATCTGAATTAGAAAAATGCCATATTTGGTGGGAAGGTCCTGATTGGTTAAAAAGGCCTGAAAATAATTGGCCAAATGAATTGAATTTTGAAATTGAAAAAGAAGATACTTGCGAAGAAGATAATCAGGAATTAATATTAAGTTGTTTAAATAAAAAGATAGATGAAGAAGATAATTTAATAAATTTTAATAATTGGAACTCATGGAATAAATTAATTAAATGTTTAATGTTTGTAACAATAGCTGCTCGGATTTGGATAGAAAAGAGCAGAAAAATTGTAAAAGAAAAATTTCTTAGTGAAATAAATTTGAAAAATCGTATGTCGGCAAATAATTTCAAAAAAGTTGAAATTTTTGTTTTAAAAATTGCACAAAGTTCTTACAAAAACGAAAAGAACGATAATTTACAGACAATAATTGATGAGAATGGATTAATAAGATTAAAAACAAGAATAATTAATTGTGAAGCAGAAGATTATTTTAAACATCCGATTTTATTACCTAAGGGATGTTTTCTATAAAACTTTTATTGAGAAAAATGCATGAAGAATTGAGTCACTCGGGAGTTGACTCAACAGTTGCAAACTTTTTAATGAAATTTTGGACGCCATGTGCAAGGCGCATAACTAAAATTGTTATAAAAGAGTGCAAAAAGTGCCAAAGAATTAGTTCGCCTAAATTTGCACTGCCGGATATGCCTATATTGCCTAAAGAAAGAGTAAGACAATCACGTCCATTTGAATTTGTTGGAGTGGATTATCTCGGACCTTCTATGTGCAAAATAGAAGGAGGAAAAGTCAGGTTTTGGATTGCGCTCTTTACATGTTTATCAACAAGAGGAATCCATTTAGACATAATTACAGATCTATCTGCATTTTCATTCTTGGATATTTTAAGAAGATTTGTAGCGCAAAGAGGCGCACCATTGAAAATAATTTCGGACAATGGCAATCAGTTTATAACGGTTGCAAAAGTAATAAATGCCAATATTGAAGGTAAATGGAAGAAAGAAAAAGCAAATAATGATGAAAAGTTATTTAATAATTTTTTATTAGAAAAAGAGATTGAATGGAAATTCATACCTGCTTTGTCTCCATGGCAGGGTGGCGTTTATGAGCGATTAGTAAAATTAGTTAAAGATTCATTTAAAAGATCTTTGGGAAGTCGAATATTAAATATAGAAGAGTTAAGAACATTTATAAAGGAGGTAGAAATGTCTATAAATTGTAGACCTATTTCTTATATATCTTTAGAAAAAGACGGCCCATTATGCTTGAGGCCAATTGATTTTATAATACCAAGAGTGGAAATTATTCAAAAATTTCCAGAAATTGAAGACGATAATTTTCGGCTAGGAAAAATGAGCACGGCCGAACAAGTTCAAGAAAGATGGATGGCCACTTTAAAAACGCTTCAGAGGTTTTGGGATACCTGGAAGCGTGATTATCTCATAATGTTGAGAGATAAGTCGAAGTGGACTCATCACAATCAAAGAAATGATTTAAAAAGAAATCCAAGAATTGGCGAAGTTGTTATTATGCATCAAGAAGGACAACCTCGCAATGTCTGGCCTTTAGGAAAAATAGTGGAGTTGGATGGAACTCCAGCTAGAAGCGCAAAGATAAAAATTGGAGATAAAACTTTTATACGCCCGATTAATAAAATCTCTCCTTTGGAGATTGAAGATGAGAATATAGTAGAAGAAAATTTAAATAATGAGAATGAAAAAGAAAATGAAGTAGATTTGAGTAAAAAAGAGACTGAAAAATTGGTGACTAAAAATAAAAATACGCATCCGATGGTTACAAGATCAAAAGTGGCTTTGTGCCTACAATTTGTACAATTAATATATATGGTTGCAATTGCATTTGCTGAACCACCAAGATATATAAATTGTAAAGGATGTTTTATGAAATGTAGAACTTTCGGCGTTGAAGCTAACGCAGTTGACTATATAAATAAAATTGAATTGTGTTGTGCAGGAAGCTGCCTTTTAGAAATAAATGGTTTGTCAAGATTAGCATTTAAAATTCCAAAAGATAAAACAGCATTGGATTATAAATGCCGAGCCACTTATTGGGGCAAAAGATACATGTACAGAGACTGGATTTCATGTCCAGCAGTTGATCCATGTATAAGAATATCAGGCTTACGTGAAAGAATAGTCAACCCACAATGTGAATCATTAGAAAGCTTACTACTGATTGGTATTGTAACGGGATTTATTTTGACTATTATTCTCTCTATAGCAATATTTGCCTGTAAACTCTTGTTAATTTTCGGAAAATTATTAAGAATAATTTGGAATATTGTTAAAATGCCGATGGAAATATTTTTTGCACAAAAGAAAAATAGACAAAAAGATATAACTAAAAAATTATTATTGAATAATAGAAGTAAAGTTAAAAATAATAAAACATTAAAAAGAAACAGAAGATTGAATAAATTACGTTTAATGGCATTATTGGCTATTTATTTAAATTTTATTCAATTAATTAATGGAGAAGTTGAAGTTGTAGTTATTCAAGCTAAATCTGAAGATTGTCTAAGAAAAGCAGGTATTTCTACTTGCAAAATGAACGCCGTAAATACTGTGACTTTTTTGCCAAATGAGCAAATAAATTCGCTCTCGTTAAAGAATAATAAAGGAATAATAATGGGAGAGCTAGAATTGTCAATGCATGGATTACAAATCCAATGCAATCAGAAAATACTTAGATATTTGAGATCATATGAGGTAAAAGTTCAGTCAATCAAAAGATGCCCAGCCGCGGGAACATGTAAAGCTGGAAGATGCAATCACATTAGAACTAAAGATTATGTTGAAGAATTATCAGAATGGAATGATTATCCTGGTAATTCGTTTTGTATTGAAGGAAAATCACTTTGGGGATATGGCTGTTCACTGCCTGGAGCAGACTGCTATTTTTATAGAGTATATGCCATCCCAAAGTCAGATGAGATTTTCAAACTTGTGTCCTGTCCTACTTGGGATTATAGTATTGAAGTAGACATAGGACTTGTTTTGAATGGAAATATGACAAAAAAGAGATTTACGCTAAATCCAGGAATGACTTTTAAATGGAAAGATATAAAATTTACATTATTAGATGTTACACCTCCAATGGCATCAGTTTTAAACAGTGAATTTATCATTGGAGAGGGAGGAATTGTAATTTCAGAAAATAGTAATTCTTATCTAGAGTGCTATGAAAATGCTGGAAATTTTTCAAAATGTGAATTAGAAATTAATGCATGTAAAGAATGCTGGTTAGAACAAGATATTGAGAAAATACAATGCGCATGTTCGGACTTTATTATTGAAAAATTAATAAAAGACCCACGCAAATCATTACCATTGGAGATAAATCGTATAAGATTAAGAAAAAAGGAAAACATGATTATTAGTGAATCTAACTATTTACCAATCATGTTAATGATAAGGTTTGAAGATTGGCTAATTTCTAGCAATATCGATATTACAATTTGTAAAATAAATCCTGAATATTTAAGAGGATGTTACAGCTGTATGGGAGCTGTTTTTAAATTTAATTGTTCCGCCGAATATGGATCGGCTTACGCTGAGATAAAATGCCCCGGAGGCAATATCTTTACAGCGAAATGTAATGAAAAAGGGATTGATCAAAAAATTGCACTTTCGTTTGATCATTCGGAGATAAATGAGATTTGTAATGTCTATTGTTCGGGAGGAATTACAAATTTCACATTAAAAGGACAATTAGAATTTATTTTACCAGAAAAGGCAAAGGTTATAGTAAAAGAAGGATCATCTAAAATATTCATAGAAAATAGTGAAAACAATTGGTTGACGAATCCATTTGCAAGTTTGCAATTTCTTGATTGGAAAAACATACTCTTTGAATTGATTAGTATACAAATGATATTTATGATTATTTTATCGTCTGTATTGATAACTATTGCGTTAAAGTTATTTTTTAAATATAATCCATTGTTTCGCGGATACAAACTCGCCGCGTCAGCACTTATAATTACAATGTTGGCGGGAGGTACACATTCTTCATGTGTAGAAAGATTAGAAACTGAAAGAAATTTAATTAACTATAATTATGTTAATATAATGATAGAAGCCTGTGTGGCTATACCTGAAAAGAATAAAGTACAGATAAAAGAAATTAGAGAAAATGAAATAGATTGTCCAGGTTTTCGAGGAGAGACAATTCTGAATAGCAAAAAGGAGGAAAGATCTCCCGTTGAAAAGAGAAAAAGAAACCATATCAAGCAATTTCAGGTCATTCGGACTATCTCGCAGGACTTCCCCTCATCTCTAATTTCAACTACTGCTTCTGCTCCAACAATAAAGACTCAACAAGTAAAAGAATTAATTAATAAAACTTCAATGCGACACAAAAAGAAAAAGTATTCTTCTCATCACACATTCGGACATACAACAAATAATTGTCCAATTAAAGGCAATGACAAGAGCACCTCACCAAAGTCATTGCTAAAAACAAATTCTTCTACAAACTCAAGCGCTCTTCAATTATCATCACACGAACTTGCCAATATGTCGCATCAATGTGCAACTCTCTTCTTCAATGCAACTACTGAGAATATGGAGAGATGAGAGGATTTCTGTGCGGGGAGTGTCGATGACGAAATTGAAGAATTAAAGATTTGAAATATTTTTGATATTTTTTATTTTGTTTATTATTTTTGGAGGTGACTCAGTGAGTCACTTTCCATTTTTGACAATTTTTTATGTACTTTTTTGCAATGTACTTAACATTGCATCATTTTTATATAGAAATTTTTGCCTATAAAAAGTAGGCAGAAATTTCACTTTTCAATGTCTTTTGAGATATTCATTTTTTTTAATATTCTGTGTGAATATTTATTTTGTTTGAAGATAAAGAATTTTAGTTGTGTTTGTGTTTATTTATTTAATTTGTTTTATCTAGTTAATTATTCCGAGGGAATAATTAATTTAAGATATTTTAATTCCCTATTAAAGAATAGGAAGGTGAAATAGTTTTCCCTAAGAAAGGGGAAAGTATTTTTACAATGTTGTCTTGAACAATTTGAATAATTTATGTGTTTTTCATTTTTCTTAATCAAAAATAAATTTTCCTCCTTTTTAATTTTCAAGTAATTTTCATTTTCGTTGTAATCACAAGTTAACAAGTTGAATAAAGATGTGTCCATTCGTTTTAGTCTCATTAATGATTTGTACACCTGTTTATAGTTTAATTATATTTCCGGAAAGCTTTTTTGTATTTTTGGTAAAAATACAAGATTTCCGGAATTATTTATTAGTCATTTCCGGAAATTATTTTCCGGAAAATATTTTAAATATATGTATATTTTTGTATTTGTTCAGTTTCCGGAATTTTTTGAATGTGTTTCCGGAATGTATTATATTATATTATTCAAAGTTATATTGTTATATTTTTCCGGAAAGTATTATTGTATTGGTGTGTTTATTTTTCTTCTATTTCCGGAAATTATTATTATCCCTACTTTAACTTTAACTATATTGTTATATTTTTCTATTATTCAAAACCTTCAGAAATAAATTTAAAAATTACCAAATTATTAATTTCATTTTTCCAATGATTTGCCTCATTAGCTTTAAACAATGCTGGTAGCATTATAGGAAATAATAAATGGCTGTAATTTGGGGTGATGAGGGAGAGAATTGTTTCACTGTTCCATAATTGGAGTGCTCGTTCAGCTACCTAAAGATAGAAAAATATAAAGATTAAAAATATAAGGATTGTGAATTTGAAGAAACCCCAAAATTTTATTAAACATTCCGTAATTAATTGTGTTTTGCTTCGGGAACTAATTTTAAAGTATTCCGGTATAAACAAGGGACTATTTACTAAATTTTCCGGAAAGTATGTCAGTCATAAATAAAATACATTTTCTTCAAGTGTATTTTATTTCCGGAAAGAATTGTATTTTGCTTCCGGAAAGTATTTTACACTTTTATGATGTAAATGGAATTTTCCGGAAAAAATACATTTTTCGGAACGTTTGTATTTTGTTTCCGGAATGTTTCATACAATTTTTCCAATATAGGTAAATAGAATTTTCCGGAGACTAAATATTAATCAGTTCCGGAATGTATTTTAAGAGGATTGTTATAAAATCCTCGCTCCAAAAATTAAGCACCAGGCGCAGCACGGGCGGAGCACGCAGTTATACAGAAATTCACTTTTATTAAATAAAATAAAATTTATTTATCTAATATTAAGTAGAACACAAAAAATTTTTTTTCATATATAAAATACATTTTCCCGACACGTATTTTGGTTTCCGGAAAGATTTTATTTCACTAATATTTAAATTACCCTGAAATGCAGACTTGACGCGCATTTTCCCAACTGTCGAAAGAGTGGCTTACAAATTAAATTAAATTCATTATTTCCAATTCGACTCAATACTTCTTCAATTTCCGTTAGTAATAAAACCTTTAAAAATATTTTTTATTTTTTTTTTATTTTAAGAAAATTTTACTTCTTTAGCGGAATAATCTTTAGGCCATTTTCCAAGTAAATAGTCAAAAGTAGGCTTTACAAGGCTAAAATCTTTTTCGATAAATAAAGCAACACAATTTGAAAGTTGAGCAAAATATAGCAAATAAGTTCTTGGCTTGTGTAGGGGAAGTAATATTTTTAAGAAAAAGTGGCGATGTTCGGGTTTTAGAGGGACGCAGAAACTGAAAAAATTAAGTAAAATTTTAAATTAAGAGGAACTGGAAGGAAAAAACCTACAAATTATTCAAATAGGTATTCGGATGCAATTGAGTATACAAAAATGCGATTACAGAGATTTTGAGAGATATTAATCAGAGATTACCTGGAAGATGCTCTTATAAAACACAACCACAGAAGAATAAATGAGTTTTATAAAAATAAGACAGTTTTCCAGGATGGAAATACTAATACTTTTTCGAATTCTGAGCTAATTCAACTGCAAAGTATTGTCAAGTGTTGCAAAACAGATATTAAGAGAGTTTACAAATCCCCTACAAAAAATCAGATACATCCATCCATCAAGCCAATTTCGATGAACGATGATGAAGTCCAGAAGAAGGTGATTGAAGGGAGTTTGATTAATCGAGGATTCCATTATTACTTAGAAGGTAATCTTATAAGACCCACTTTCAGATAAAATAGGAGGCAATTGGTAAAAAATATTTTCGAATTCTGAACTAATGCCAATGTGCAAAACAAATCTTGAGGACTGGTATCCACTCCTCACTCCAAAAATTTATTCTACTTTTCAATATTATTATTTATTTCTGACTAAATTAATTTTTTTATTAAATAAAATTAAATTCATTTATCTAATATTAAGTAGAACACGAAAATTTTTTATATACTTGAACTGCCCCAGATGCAGAGGTCAAAGAAACCTTACTTTTCTAAACACAACTATCACCACACTAAAAAAATTAAATAATTTACCCATTAATTATATCTCCAAGAATTTCCAAAATTTCAGGTACTCCTTTACACTGCCTATTTTCATAGACATGTTCCAACAACAACCACCCCATCCTCTTGCGTATCTCAGGCCTTAAAGGCACCAATTTACTGTAGAGTGTGTGAACCACTTTTTTGAGTTGTTGTCTTTCTCTGGGGTCTTCTGAGTGAAATAATTCTAATAAATCTCCAATAAATTTTGAATTAAATTCAGTAAATTTAGTAAGATCACCATCACTTGATTTTTCAATTAATAAATGTAGAAGTCGATAAACTTGGAGTAGATGGGGCCAATTAGGCTCTAAATGGGAGTTGGATGTTAGGCGAGAATCTAGACCAATATCTGTCAATTCTTCTGTTGCTGAATTATCTTGTGTTTCGTTTGGAGGGAGAATTCTGGAAAAAAAATTTGTTAACTACATAATATATAAAAATAGATTATAAATTTTATTTAAGCACAATATTTAATCGAATGATGTTCTTTCACAAAGCCTTATGAGTTTATTTTTGGGATGAGGATTTATGGTAAATCCTCGCTATAAATGTTTTCGTTAATCGTGGATTTCAGTTTCGGTCGAGAACAGCTTATAAATAAGCTTTTGTTGTAGAAAATACACAGAACAAGCAATATTTACGAAAAACAAAATTCGTCTCAAAAAATTTTAGATTAACTAAGCATTTCTGTATTTTTTGTATGTTCAAGTATATTTTGTAAGTATTTTATAATGTGTATTTTCTGACTATTTTTGTATTTTTTATTAAAAATTCCAACCTGAATAAATTTAACCGGACAATATCAACCAGTCCACGCTTTAAATTGTCCTCTTCCACCAATTTTTTTGAAGAACTATTGGAAACCCATTCAATTACTTCCTCCAAAGCATTTGTCTTTACTAATCTTTCCTTAATTTTCTCTTCATTCTCCTCCTCTCCCCACTCCACAAATTGTTGGCATTGTTGTATTTTTCGTAGTAAAATTTTTTTGATTTCTGCATCGTTTGACTGCTTCAAAGGTGGAAGGGGAAGCTTAAATTTTAACAGATTTTAGGAAAGAAAAATTTTTCCCGGTTAATTTACCATGATAGAAGAACCTCTATTCGCCTCTTCAGCCCTCCCACAAACTTGCTCATTCCCTTTCCTTCTACATTCTCTGCTTAATTTTCTAGATTCGCTGGGAATACTAACAGAATATGAAGGACGACGGTCTGCTAGCAATTGTGCTAAGGATTTTGGAATGGCTTTGTTATTGTCACTATTTAAAGTGTTAAGAGGTGAACATGTTGGAATATTAAACATTTCTACTCTGAAAATAATTTAAATAATATTCGGTATTTTCCGGAAAATGTAAAAAGAAAATACAAAGTATTTCCGGAAGAAATACAGAAAAAGTATTAATTACAAAAATACAAGTATTTTCCTGAAAAAACACAAATTCTTTCCGGAAAGAGAAATATAATAAAAATTTTCCGGAAATAGAAATAAATATATTACCTTCCGGAAAATTTAAAGAGAAAATACAAAATAAATTCTTTTCCGGAAGAAATACAAAATTGTTTTTATTCACTTGTTTAGACCATAAATTATTTCCGGAAAGGAAAATACACATCCCTATTAATAATTCCGGAAAGAAAATACACTGCCTTCCGGAAAGTTGTATATTCCTCTGATAGCAGAAATACATAAATAATATATGTATTTTCCGGAAAGAAAACACAAAACTCAAAGGTTTACTTGAACGAAAAAAATACTGAAAGTAAAACACATTTTACACTAATAATTTAAATCACTGACTCTCCCTATAAATTTTCCTGCATTTAAATAAAATAATTTATTAACTTGCTAGTCATTCATTTTTTGCTTATTTTTAAATATTTTTAGCGCGTGACTTTTAAATAATTTTTTTTATTATTTTTCTAAATTCTCCAAACACAAAATTAAATTTAGAGACACAGTGATTTCTCTGATTTTTGTTCAAATAAATTTCCTTGAATTTATTTAAATATTTAAAGACACAAAATTGGTGGAAGGCAGTGGTGGTCGTTTAGTTTTTTTTATTATTTCCCGTGACTTTTTGCACTGCTTTGGGAATGCCCCTCTCTTAAGTCTTTCCTTCCACGTTCTTTTTGTGTTACCACGAGATTTTTTAAAAGAAAAGTGGTTGGTAATAGTTACCGACAAAAAAATGCGGACAAAATTGCGGATAAAAATTTGCGGAAAAAATATTTGCGGATAAAAGTTGCGGATAAAAGTTGCGGACAAAAATTTGTGGACAAAAAATTTGCGAAAAAATATTTGCGGATAAAAATTTGCGGACAATGTTATCTCTTGTGGTTTCTGAAGCAAATTTCTCAAAAAAAATTTTTTTGATTTCAGAAACATTTGAAGCATAGGAGTATTGGAGCTATTAAAATACTAGAGTGTGATCAAAAAAATTATCTGACGAAATCCTTCTAGGGGGGGGGGGGGGGGGGTGGGGCATTTATTTAAAAAAGCAAAGCCTACGAAGCATGCTGTTATTTAAATTAAAATTTTTAAATAAATTTTCTGAAGCAAGCTTAAATAAAAAATAATTCTATGCTGCATTTGTACTTAATCATTCTCTCCCGTGGGCGTTAAATGGGATTCGACTGCCCTCGTGTTTATGCAGCTTGTGTATTAAAAGTAGAGCCCGGACCGATACGATATTTTTTCGATATTTTTCGGTATTTTTCGATATATATTTTTCGATATTATCGAAAAAATATCGACCGAGAAAATTTTGAGTTTTTCGATATTTTTCGATATTCGGTATTTTTCGATATTTATCGAAAAAATACCGACCGAAAAAATTTAAAAATCGAAACAATCGACCGACCAAATTACAAAAAATCGAAAAAAATATCGAACGCCATTTTTTACAAATATTCGAATTTTTGGGGCAAAAAGGACAAAAATGGAAGAAATATAGCTTCTTGGTCTTCCAAAATTCTCAAAATTTTTGCCTGCGGCGCTGAAAATGGAAGAAATCATGTAGCCTGGTCTTCCAAAATTCTGAAAGTTTTCGGCCGCGTATCAAATGCCAAGATTTTTTTCCTCTGATATCTCGTTATACCCCGATATCACTCTTAATCCACAAATCCCTTGATATCCCTCCTGCTCTCACACATCCACAATATCTCTCTTACTACCTCTAAATCTCTCGATACATACTCAGTCCTTCAATATCCACCTTAATTCCTTAAAATCCATTATCCCTAGTTAAAATCCACTTATATCCCACTTGATCCTTCGATATTAAATACAAGTCCATTGATTTTACAGTTAATAGGTCCAAATCCACCAATATCCAATTTAATAGACCTTAATCTCATTAAACTATTAGGTCTATTCTGTTATTCGTTGGTTATAGAAAAATTTTTGAAAAATCGAAAAATATCGAGACTTTTTTTTCGATATTTTTCGGTTTCGATATTTTTCGATATTTATCGAAAAAATATCGACCGAGAAAATTTTGGTTTTTTCGATATTTTTCGATATTCGGTATTTTTCGGTATTTATCGAAAAAATATCGACCGAGCCCTCCGTCCGGGCTCTAATTAAAAGTGAAAGAGAGAGAGGTGTTCCCCCTAACGCCGTTCGCGACTGAAAACCAAGCAAAAGCACATGGTGCAAATTTAAAAAAGTGTGTAATGTAGAGAGGTGGATATCTGAATGGGGGAAGAAAAAATGTGGAAGAAAAAAATTATTTGAAAAAATGTGTTTAAAAAAGAAGAAAAAATGTTGTTAATGCATTAAAGGCCAAAAGTAATAAAAAAAATTATTTTAACCTTAAAGAAGGGAAATTTTTTTTCTTTTATCTAAAAGGATAAAAGAGAAAGCATTAGTCGTCGCCCCGGTAGCTCAGTGGTAGAGGACCTTCATTTGTGTGAGCAAGGCCGCTAGGCATTGAAATCTTTTTAAGAGGGATCACTGCAGAGTTGTCGCAGGTTCAATCTTGCTCGCTGGCTAAACTTTTTCTATAGTTGAGGATTTTTATTTTATGATAGAATTTTGAAACATCATCCCAACATCCTACTGCCCCATACACCCAACAACAAGATTATGGGTGATTATGTAAGAAGAGGAAGAACAGGCTAGCTTGTGAAGGGGCTAAAAATAGATTTTTTTGAAACATTACTAAACTAGCCTTAGAAAAAATTAAATAAAAAAAAAATTTAGCTTTGAAATCTTAAGATAAAAAGGTAGAACTGTGAAAGAAATATTTAATGAAACTATTTTAAATGGAGGAAGATATATTTTAAGACCGAGAGCAAGCTTCTGAATTACCCAAACACTCCTACAGACTTTCGGTCAGTGCCGGGTATGGCTCCGGAGCCGGCTCCGCCTGAGCTAGAATCTTAAAAGCCCGGAGCCAAGAGCCAACACCAACAAATGCCAAAATACCCAGCACTGCTCTCGGCCATCATAAAAATTAAAAAAGGAAGGAAGATACCTATATTTTTTAGGGAGAGGAGCATTATTTCTTTAAATAAATGTTAAAAATAATGAAACAAAAAAAAATTTTTAATTTATCAAAAATTAAATTAATTTATCAAAACGAATTTTTATATGCGCATTTTATGGTCGTCTCTTTCAATAAATTTTGAAGGTGGTTAGGGGTTCCCCAAACATTTTTAAGAAATAATAAATTGGGGGAGTAAATTGAATTTTTCTTCTTTAAATAATAAATAAATTTAAAAAATATTTCTTTTTCAGTCTGTGATGTTCAGTGACGAATGTGGTCTTTCCTAAAACCAAAAAAGAGAAAATAATAATTGAAAGAGACAGTCATCCCCAAAAAGACCAACCACTTTTTTGGAAAGGGAAGAGGTTTACGGCTTCCCCAAAAAATTTTTGTCAAGTCTTGTGTCTTTTTTTGTTTATATTTTTGGCAAATAATAATAAAAAAATTTGGGGGTGAGCGGAGTAGAGAGATCACATTTTCATCCTCATTCCAAAACCTTAGGTTTCCCTCTATGTTCACAAAAAATTTTATTACCTAATCATTTTTCTCTGAAATAAAACCTACCCTGAATCACGTATCTAATGAGGAAGGTTAATGAAAAATGAAGTCAACTGAGACTTTATTCCGAGAAAAAAATATTTAAAGAAAAAGAAGGTGCTCATGCAATGTAGTAGGGATGAACCTTTCCATAAACAGTGAAAGAGAGCGGAAACTGAACACCAGGAACAGAAACTGCAGAAACTGAAGACCCAAGGACCTCGGTCCCTTACACAAGGAAAAGAGGTCCCTTAACCCAAGGACCTCTCTTTCCTTTTTCCCTCTTCTTTCCCTTACCCCTACAAATTGTCGAATTATCGTTTTAAAAATATTTACTTTGAGATAATAAAAGTTGCAGAAGAGAGCCCATCCCTGATGGGGGCTCCCTCCTTGGGGGCTTCCCTCGTATGTAGCATGCCACGCAAGGAAGATCCTTTTTTAGGAAACCCTTGCATTCCCGCCTTAAAAATATTTACTTTAAGTATATTTTTAACCTTGAGGGCTTCCCTCCTTGTTTACAACAAAATTTCGTTCCCTATTTTCCTTCTAATCCCGACAAAGTTCAAGGGGACTTTATTGTTTATATAAAATTTTTTTTCTTCCTTCATAAATCACGTAAATAATGGGCAAAAATAAAAACATCACGGGTTTTGGAAGAACATTTTTACCTTTTTTTTTATCTTTTTTGGGGGTTCCCTTTGAACTTTGAATTAAAAAAGAGAGAAAAAATTGAGAATAACAACCGTCTATAAAAACCTATTAAAAAGGGCAAAAAGGAAGGAATTAAAAAATTTATTTTAGGGTGTTCCTCCCATAATATATCAATCCCCAAAATATCAATTTTTAGTAGAACAAGGTTGAAATTTAAAAATTTTAAGAGAATACTTGGAGGAATAAAATTTAAAAATCGAGGGAGGATATGAGGTAAAAGTTCGTAAATTTCTTTTATTTAGTTCAGAAAGGACTTGAAGAACGGATTTAAAAGAACGGCATAGACGTCGAAACGAAATCAACCAACTTTTATTTTAAGGTAGCTCCCCTTCCCCAAACCCGATCAAAATTCAACCCCAAACCCCGTCATGCCCTCCTCGGCAAACCCCGATCACCGACACCTCCTACCTTGAAGGCTCAGGGAGCCACCTTGTATTTTAACTAAGTATGTATCAAATTCCGATCCTGACACATCCAACTCCAAAGGCTTAGGGAGCTACCCTAATTCCTCCCATCATCCACCCTTACTGAAACTGATTAGCAGTCATTTCACTTTCGATCTTTTGAGACGATTATTGCCAGTTTTATTAAAAACAAAAAAAATCAGTTGATAATAAATAATTTAAAAAGAACATTTAATATCTTTTTTTTGTCAAAAATTAAATTGGGTATTTTGTTTTTATTATTTTTTGGGTAATATTTTAAAGGGTCAGGAGTTTCCTCAAATTTTGACTTGATATTTTTAAGAGTTTTGACTATTTTTGTTTAAAAATTATTTTATAAAAATAATGTGTTATCTCTAAATTTGTGACAGATAAAAAATTAAGGGGTTTCCCTAAATGTTCTTTTAAAATAAAAATAAAAACAAAATAATAACAAGTAAAAATATTGGGGGATTATTTAATTTAATTCTAGAAGAAAATGTATTTTTAAAATTTGTGTATTTTCCGGAAAATACAATAGAATATTTTACTTAATATGTATTTTCCCAGAAAGTATAATATAGTTATAGATATTTCCGGTAATAGTATTTCCGGAAAAATGTATTTTTGAAAAATAACTTCTGAAAATAATCAATTTTCCGGAATACTTGTATTTTCCGGGAAATATTCGGGAAAACACTGCGTGTATTTTCCTAATATTAAGTATATTAATGTATTTTCTCATTTCCGGAAAGTTATATATTAAGAAGATACTATTTCCGGAAAATACTAGGATAGTTCCGGAATATAACATGTATTTTCCTAAACTTATATGCATTATAATGTCTTTTACATTTTCCGAAAATATTATAATTTGTATTTTCCGGAACTTGTATTAATTAAATATCTTAAGCAATTTAAATAATTTTAAATAGGTTTTGCTTCTACTCCACAAAGAGTTTCTCCCAAGTTTTTAAACATTGTCATCTTAAATAAAAATAAAAAAATATTTTACTGAAAAACATTTTATTTTTCATACCCTTCTTTGTTCCATTTGTTCAATGCCATTTTTCTCAATAAAGTTCAAAACATTCGAGTATAATTGTTTAATTTGAAGTGAAGGCGTTTTGTCTGGTCCTATTGAAAAGGAGCACAAATCAAGTAAAGTTGAAAGAATCCATTGACAACAAAGAAGTCGAAATCGGCACTTTAGAAAGGAGGGAGAGTTTTAAAATCAAGTTAAATATTGCTTGCGTATTTCGGAAAAATGTTTTCCGGGATCATTTTCAATTTCCGGAAAAATTTATTTATTTTCTGGGAAAATGCATTTGTACTTATACGGAAACTTTTATTAAATTTCCTGAAGCATGTATTAAATTTCCGGAAACGTGTATTAAACAGCGTTCATAAATTTCAATTTTGCTCATACTCGCCTTCGTACCTGCCTATTTTTAATCTCGTATCGTACCAAGGTACGAGTACGAATTTTGGTACGAGCTCATGAACACTGGTATTAAATTTTCGAAAATATTTTTAAATTTCCTGAAACTTTTATTCAATTTACAAATGATTAAAAAATTTCTACTTGTATTTTATCAATTCCCTGTCCTTGACACTCCAAAGGCACTTGCCATCTGTGGAACCGATTTTCCCTCTGTAAATGAGCAAAAGCCTTCTCTACGTGTAACAGAGCTATTTCTGTCCATGCTTTTTGTTTTCTATCTTCAAGACAAATTTTTCTGGAACAAAAAGCCAAGCCGACTGCCAACGCTGTATCGCTGTATTTTTTTAGATTTTTTCAGATTCCGGAAATATTTTACCTCTGCAATAGGTTCTGAGGACATTTGCGTACAATAGCGTTATGTTGCCGTGCTCTAGCCATATCCCCATGACGCCAGTGAAGGGCACTGCTTAATAAATGAGCCCACCAGGTACAGAGCTCATCACCTGCTGAGGAATTCGATGACAATAAAATATCTGAGAGAGCTGAAAGGTTAATTTCTTGATTAATTATTCATGAAGCTTTCCCTCGTCTACATCTATAAGGTCGGGTTTTGGGCAGGCTTTGCAAATTTTCTCGAACCGGATTTAGAGTCGGAAAAGGCCTGCCTTAAGTAACTCATGATCTCCCAGGTTTACATACCTTCACTATCAGTCCTGCTAGATTCCCCTACATTCTCCTTGCACTTCACACTCGTATCATTTCCATTAGCTATACAAATTTGTAATAACAGCTGTGAACGCTCTACAAAATCAGGAACACGTAGACCCTCAGATGAGTCAATTTGTTTTAACAAAGCATCGAGTAAATGAATTTTGAATGCGTCACGTAAAACTTCTAGAGGTTTGGCTGGAAGGGGTTTGTGGTCAAATGAGTTTATAAAAATATTTAATCTACCAGACTGTGTTGAATCAGTAAACGGAAAATTAGTCTGTTGTTGAGCTCCACTACCGTCTAATATAGCAGCCAAACGAAGAGGGTCTGCGAGGAATTTCCGCGCTAAAGGGTGGAATGCCCATTGAAGAGAATATATTTGTTCTGCATTTCCTTCCAGACGATGGCTTTTGGTGACATGTCGTCTAGGAAATAATAAAATAATCTCAATCTTGTTTCCGGAAGCTCCGGCTCCACCGCTAGCTACCGGAGCCATACCGAACACAAGTTGTTAACCGAACAGACTTTTTCATACCAGAATTGAGAACATAGTTTTTATCAAAATATAATGATTCCGGGCTAACGGATTTACCATACCAGTATCCGGGGTTTAACAAAATAATTAGCAATTGATTATTACGAGGATTTAATAAAAATCCTCTTCCCAAAAATTCATCAAATCTTTTTTCTCAATATTCAGTAACGTTTGAATTAATGTTTTGCTTAAGTAATATTTAAACTTTATAAATATATATTATGCAAATTATTGACTACTCAAAAAAATTTTTTCCAGAACTCCCTCCATTCGAAGCACAAGAGAATCAAACTGAAGTTTCTATTCCGGAAACGAGTAAATTTTCTATTCCGGAAGTGAGTAAATTTTCCGGAATATGTTCCGTTTATTGTCCTATTAAAATACTAACTTTGCTCTCCTAAAGAAATAGCCTGCTATAGGCAAGCGCAGCCACCGCGGCAAGCATAATCTACAACGTATAGCAGCACATGCATACATTTCGGCTCTAAGTGCGTGTGAAATTGCAGATGATCCGGCTGACTGAAAAAAATTTATAAAAATTTTTTCGGAAAAGTTTTCACTTCGGCTAGATTTGCCGCCAACAAAGCTATGTTGAGGGCTCCACGTTGTGTCAACCTAAGGAAAAAAATTTTTTTGATAAATGAATTAAAAATTACCCAATCCCATCCACCCCCAATAAATGCAATTGATGTAGCTGGTTGTAAACCATTGAGGTTGCTGCATGACTTCGACAAACGGATTTTTGTGTCTGGAGGCTGGAACGACGACGACGGGCAAACCAACGGCCAATCCAGAGAACATTTAATAAATGACGAATTATCTTTGAATAAAAATCGGGAATTTGAGGAAATATTTGGAAAGGATTACCTGCCAAATGAGAGACATCCACTCATCTAGACCGCCAGAGGAGGGTAATGGTCGTTCCAAAATCTAAGTGGGGAATTTTTAAATAAGTTATTTTTAAAAAAATTAGATACCTGTAATGATTCTCCCAAACATCGCTGTGCCTCTTTCCAATTACCAGCAGCTACAGCTTGTTGTGCTTTCCGACGACTTTGGATAAAAGTTCCCCACCGAGGAGATCGCCGATCAGCAACCTTTGGAAAATGGATGAATATTTTTGTGTTTTGATTTATGTATTTTACGTATTTTGTGTATTTTTTTTGTATTTTCTTAATTTTGTATTTTTCTGTATTTTTGTTTATTTGTATTTTTTGTGTTTCATGTATTTTTTGTGTTTTATGTATTTTTGTATTTTTGTGTTTTTCTGAATTTTCTGTATTTTCCTTATTTTGTATTTTTGTGTCTTTATACTTTTTTTGTATTTTTTGTGTTTTATGTATTTTGTGTATTTTCTTAATTTTGTGTTTTGCTGTATTTTGTATTTTCCGTATTTTTGTGTTTTTCTGAATTTTCTGTATTTTCCTTATTTTGTTTTTTTGTATTTTCTGTATTTTTGTGTTTTTGCATTTATGTATTTTTTTGTATTTTCCAATTTAGGTTCTCATATTTTTTCTTATTCACTTACCGGTTCCCCTGAAACCAATAAACGATTCAGTATCGCAAAAACAAACAAACAATTTAACAGCCAAATAAGTGAATGCCTCAGTAAAGAAGAATTAGGCCAATGTTCAAAAGAATTAACAGAAACATAGGATTGAGAAGTAAAGGGGATTTTATTTGTATTATCTTTAACAAAAAAATCATCCCCCGTCAAAGTTCGATGCCTTCCAAAAATAGCCGTGTTTTCCTGTAAATCTCCTCCAAAATTTGAAGAATTTGTTGAATTTTCGGTGAAGAGAAAAGCCAGGGGATTATAAATTAATAAAAGGAACATAAACACACAAAGTGTGACACGTGATTGATCTCGGGGGCCAACAACTGATGAGACAGTTGTTGAAGAAATTGAAGTGTTATTGTTGTTACATTTTTTCATTGAGGAAGTAATGCGGCTTCTTTGCTGTTAAAAATTAATTTTTATTTTTTATTCTACACAATATTAAATAAATGAATTTAAATTTTATTTAATTTTAAATAGATTTTATCGATAAGAACGTTTTAATTTAGGTAATTTTTGGGACGAGGATTTGCTAGCGATCCTCTTACAATTAGTTTAGTTAAACTCAGGTTTTTCATAATAGGTTGTTAACCAAATCTTAGTTTTAGGTTGTGATCGGTTTTTGACCCCCAGGGTCTTTTTTGTTAAATTTATTTAATTTTTGTAAAATTATAATAATTTACGCAAATTAAGCAAGGGTTAAAAATCTTCAACCAATAAAAATTGCAAGAAGCGGCATCAAACGCTGGTAATAAAAGCTACATTTCCGCTAAAATGAAATGAACAATCCCTAATTTTATGTGGCTATAGTATAGTATACCGGAGGCAAAATTTCGATATGAAACACATACCTTTCGATTCGTCTCGGCGAGCTGAGTCGAGTGGTACCACTCTATATTCACTGAAACGCCTGTGGACCAAGATATAGGTCCCTGAAAATCGAAAAACCATAGGGGGGACCAAGCTGATTTTTAGGGTCAAAAATTCGAAAATGAAAATGATACAACATTCGAAAGAGCTCTTCGAGCTGAGTCGAATGACACCAAAATCAACGAAATCTGACTTGACTTGACAAAGTTATGATCGTTTGTTTTAGCTCCTTACCTTTGGTATCCGTCGAGGTTTTTCCTGCTACGGAGGAAGCCAGATAACCCATTACAGCGATAATTAAAATAGGATTAAGTTACGAGCCCAGAACCCATCGCCCGTAGACTCCCCGCGAGGCGCGTGCCGCAAAACCCCGCGCGAAGCGCGGGGTTTTGCACAAGCGCCTTGCTGACGCTCCATAAGTTCATGTTATTTGTTTTTTGTGTCCTAACTTTGTCCAATCTTGATCAATCACGGTGATTTTCATGTCATTCGACTCAGCTCGTCGAGCTCTTTCGAATGAGCTATTATTTGTATAAAAAATTTTTTATTCCAAAAATCGCCCCTTTGGTTCTTCGGTTTTTAAGGGCCTATATCTCGGTCCAATCAAGTCGGATTTCGTTGAATTTGGTGTCATTCGACTCAGCTCAAAGAGTTCTTTCAAATGAGCTATTATTTGCATATTTGAATTTTTCACCCCAAAAATGTGCTTACTCCCCCCCCCCCTTTGGTTTTTCGATATTCAGGGACCTATATCTCGGTCCACAGGCGTTTCAGTGAATATAGAGTGATACCGTTCGACTCAGCTCGCCGAGACGAATCGAATGGTATGTGTTTCATATCGAAATTTTGCCTCCGGTATACTATACTATATCCTTTTATGTTAACAATTTTAAACTTTGCTGTTGGGCTCTTACGTGCAGCGTTTCTGCCGACTCGAGATTTTATGAATGTGGAATCAAAACAGTAATTTGTAGGGATTTGTGATAATCCCCGACCCAAAAATTTCTTAATTTTTTGGAAGTTGAACACCAATAGAATTAGAATTATTCTACTATCCTAAATAATTCATTACTTTAAATAAAATATATTAAGTAAAAAGGGTTTACAAATATATGTATAAAATTTTTCGAAATTTATATTTATTCGAACCCCATCATTTTTGATGTATCCCTTCTTAGAGTGATCGGAAATTCTTTCGAGATCATATATGTGTAAAAATGTCAGTTCCCATGTCAGTTCCTTTAAAAACCCCCAGAAAGGCGCAGGGTCGATTACAGAGTTAAACTTTTACTAAACTTTTTCACCTAATTTTGTAATTTTTTAAATGGTTACAAAATTTTTCTACCATAGTAGGCTGTTAATAAAAGATATGTTTCGCTAACAATAAGATGAAACCTTAAAGGAATCTCTAACAAATTTTAAACTTTGTTATCAAACTTTGTTACACTATGGTGGGTCGACTTGCGATATTTTAAAATATAGGTAAACACCATAATATTTAGGGTAGAGACCGGACGGTACCATACTACGACAGTATTTTGCGGTATTTATCGGTATTCCGTATGGTAATACGGTACGGTAAAATTCTGAATTTCATCGGTATTTTTCGGTATTTCAGTACGGAATACCGTTCAGTGCGAAAATTCGGTCTCTAATGTAGGGATTTGTTAAAATCCCCGACCCAAAAATTTATTTATTTTTGAAAGCTTTATCGATAATAATAGATATCTCACTACTATATCTAAATAATTCATTATTTTAGATAAAATATATTAAGTAGAAGGGTTTACTATTATGGCACTGTTATATGTAATATGACTAAATATTTTTATGAACACAAAATTTTTCGAATTCCATTTTTTTTGAACCCCTCATTTTTGATGCATATCTTCTTAGATCTGATCGAAATTCTGGTCTATCATTTAAACCCCCAGAAAGTTGCTGGGGTTATTCCAAAGATCAAACTTATGCTACACTCATTACTCTATTTTTGTACTTTTTTAAATATTTTTAAAAATTATTCTACCATATTAGGCCCTTTCAATAATATTTCTGGTTGTTCCGTATGTTGCCCGACAATCATTGTTGAAGATTTATTTATTCCTCCCATTTTCCCTGTATCTCTCAACCCAGCCATTTCCAACGCCCGTCTCAATCTCCCATTTTCTCCTGCCAACTCTGCATTTTTGGCACGCAATGAATGAATATTTTCTACAGCTCTTCGAAGAGTAGCTGACTTGCTTAGCTTCAAGAAAAAAATTTTTTTTGGAATTTAAAAAAAATTTTTCCCCAACTTTTGTATTGTCTTCAGTAGCCAACATTTCTTTTAGTTGATTAATTCGATCATTTATAGAGCAACGATATTTCTTTTCGATTAAATTGTGGGCTGTACGTCTTTCTGTTTTGTGGGCTTAAATGGGGGATTTAATGTTTTATTCTGATTTGGTATATCTATTAATTCTGATTTCTAAATTCTGATATTTTTATTCTGATTTTTTAAATTCTGATTTTTAAATTCTGGTTTTTTATTCTGATTCTTAATTCTGGTTTTTGAATTCTGGTTTTTAAATTCTGGTTTTTTAATTCTGATTTATACTTCTGATTTTAATTTCTGATTTTTAGTTTTTAAATGATTTCTAACAAACATTTCCTCCGGCCTTGACGTTCACGATGACCAGTATTCCCCTCTTCACTGCCCGTAGTCACATGGTCATTCTTATAATTTGTTGAATTCATTTCACCGCCTTCAGTCATTTCCCCTTCCCCCCAATAATCTTGATCTATTTGGGAATCCGATTCTTCCAAAAAATCAGAAGTAGCAACACTAGGATAACCACAAACTCCTCCATTGCTTAGAGGGGATAGTAAAGTGCCGGCAGAACAACCACTGGAAGGGGATGAGTAAAAATATGAAGGTTGGGCCATTTGTTGGTGTTGTTGTTGTGCTATCTGTGAGGTAAAGTAATTTGGCTTGGTTAATTCTGATTTTAATAATTTCGAAATTTTGATTTTGAAAATTCTGATTTTTGTATTTTTGAAAATTCTTATTTAGAAATTCTGATTTTGAAAATTCTGATTTAGAAATTCTGATTTAGAAATTCTGATTTTGAAAATTCTGATTTAGAAATTCTGATTTTGAAAATTCTGATTTAGAAATTCTGATTTTGAAAATTCTGATTTAGAAATTCTGATTTTGAAAATTCTGATTTTTTATTCTGATTTTTAATTCTTATTCTTCTGGTCATATTTTGTAAATAATTCTGATTTAATTTTGTTTCTGGTTTCACATACCTGTTGAACTCCATAATGTCCCATCGGATTATTAATCGTATTAATAGATTGAGCAATACCATAATCAATTTGATAAGGTACTAGAGGAGGAAGTGGATCCAAAGGGGGACTGCTTTGTTGCTGAGTATAAATGGAAGGATTTTGATTGTATTGAAGTTGTTGGGGTTGTTGTCCTGTTTGGATGAATATTGGTTGGGAAGATTGAACGGTGGATGTATTGTTGTAATTAAATTGTTGGTGGTTGTGAGGTTGTTGAATAGATTGAGCTTGCAGGGCTTTTCTGGCTCTCAAGTGTTCAAGCTAAATTAATTTTATAATTAATTCAGATTTTTGTATAGATTTGTAATTAATTATGGGTGTTAATTCTGATTGTATTTTTTAAAATAATTCTGATTTTTTTTTATTTTTGAAAATTCTGATTTTTGTATTTTTAATAATTCTGACTGTTGTATTTTTTAAAAATAATTCTGATTTTTTAAAATTCTGATTTTTTATTTACAAGATTCTGATTTTTTTATTTTAATTCTGACTTTTGTATTTTCTAATAATTCTGATTTTTTTTTGAATAATTCTGGTTTCTGTATTTTCTTAAATTCTTATATTTTTTTTCTAAATTCTGGTATTTCTGCTGATTCTGAATATTTTAAATAATTCTGATTTCTTTTGTATTTTCACTTGTAATTTAATTATTTTTTTATTTTTTTCAAAATTTCCCATATTTTTAATTAAAATTCTGATTATTAAATACACCTCTTCTGGCGTTATTTGCAGCAATAATTGAAGGAACTCCTGTTTAGCTAATATAGCAGCTTCCCCAGTATTATTATAATTTTGTATTTCATCCGTATTAGAAGCTGATAATTCTTGTTTCACTGTCCTTTCTTCATTGTTTAATAAAGAATTATTTTTGTTGGGTAGTTTTGTTGAAATTGGGGGGAGTGGTGGTGGGGAGTCGTTTACACTACTTGATTGCTGATTTGTACTTAATTGCCAGAAAGTTTTTTCTTGAAGTTCTTTTTGTTCTGGGTGATCCATTATGGTGATGCCTTCGTGTTCTTGAATATATTCTGTCTGAAATATTTTTTTGAAAAATAAACACAATAAATATTTACAATTTTACTTAATATGAATAAATTCAAATTAAAAATCATATATATAAAGATAAGCGAAATCTGTAATAGATGATCTATCTTACTCGAATTTAATTTTTGGGACGGGGATTGTGCGCAGATCCCTATTAAGTATTGTTTTACCGGAACCGAAATTTTGATCTAATTGTTTTGTCTTCAAGCGTTTTCTACAAAAAAATTAAATCTTTCCGTTTAAATTGTCTGCCCAGGCCAAATGGCGTGATTTTTTCTTAATCGTATTTTAGTTAATTCTGATTTAAGGTTAATTTGACAGTCTCAATAGGATCTGAGAAAAAAATTAAATTATTTTCCACCTGTTTTTCAGCTTCAGAATTTACATTTTTAATTAATTCATTTGTTTGTTGGGGAAAATTTAAAGGAACATTTTCTGTTGTCATTAAAGGAGGGCATAAATTTAAATTATTTCCACATTCTTCCTCTCCATAATTATTTCCACCAATCATTGGATCGTCAAACTGATCAAATCCTATTAAATTTTTATCATATAAATTATTTCTTGAGTCGGTAGAGAACGGAGAAAGAAATCCGAGGTGGTCGTCGAAAGAGACTGTTTGGCGAAGTAATTGTGGATGTTGCTTAAAAATAAATTTATTATTAGAGAGGGGGTACACTCTGTCAGAAAATTATAAGCACCCTTTAGTTTTAGAATAAAAACATAGTTAAAGTTAAAATATCATAGTTTTAAATAATTTTAGGATTTTCTGATGCATATTGAACAGAAAAAAACAATCATTGATAAATTAAATATGGATAGTAGAGAAAATAAATGAAATTTCGTTAAAACGACTGTCAGATAATTATAAGCACCCCTAAGGTTTCGACATTAGGGGTCGTCCAAAAAATCTACAAAAATTCCTGTGAACATATTTAGTGATGTGAATTAAAAATACAAAAGAAACTAAGTTCTAACATAACCCCTACATCGAAATCCAAAAACACAAAAATCAACGGAAAACTGTGGGTAGACGGCTTTAAAAAATATTTTCGACCCCTTACAGGCAAAATAAAAATTTCATTTTGGGCTTATTTGAAAGCCCTTGAAATTTGCTACAAGATAGCATTAATTTTATTTTTCGAAAAAATTCACCTTTAAGACATAATGTGATAAACTTTCAGGTCATAAAAATCACACAAACGCCCCTCAAAAAACCCCTGTTTTCCGTTGATTTTCGAGTTTGTGGATCTTGTTGTAGGGGTTATGTTAGAACTTAGTTTTTTTTGTATTTTCAATTGACATAACTAGGTATGCTTACATGAATTTTTGTAGATTTTTAGAACGACCCTAATGCCGAAACTTAAGGGGTGCTTATAATTATCTGACAGTCGATTTTTTGGAAATACCAGTTATATCCCCTACTACCCGTGAATAATCTATATCTTATTGTTTTTTCTTTCGAATAATGAATTAAAAATTCATAAAAAATTTTAAAATTATTTTACTTTAAACTTAAATATGTTTTTACGTAAAAACTAAGAGGTGCTTATCATTTTCTGACAGAGTGTATGTGCCTATATACATAGTAGATATACGGATGTTATAATCTGATTAAGTCCAGATATCTGAAAGTTTCGAATATCCTAAAGATTTGGCTCTAGACGCATTACTTTTATTTAAGAAAATCTACATAATATTTATAAATTCAAATTATAAAATATTTAAATAAAAACATAATTTTTATTATAATTTTGCACCAAAACAGCTTATATTTTTGTAGGGGATCGAGTGAGGATCCCTAAAAATAAGTTTTTGATAAGGGTGGCGGTGTGTGATAAAAAGAGGCTGTCCGCAATTTAAAAAAATACTCGTAGCCGCAATTTGCAGCACATAATCCGCAAATGCGGACAGACCTGATTCTTGACAAATTAAATTTTTTATTTTTTGCTTAGTTCATTATTTAATTAATTTAAAGTAAAAATTACTCTTTTTTCTGGTTGTTGTAATAAATTAACAATTTGATGAATTGACCTTTCTTTGTTTGAATCAGAATTTAAATTAACAGTTTCAATATAATTGTCTTCTCTTTCCAAACTTTTGGGTCTTACATTAATATTTTGAGGAGAATTTTGTAGATTATTATTTGTTGGGTTATTGTTGACGATAAGAAATTCTTCGGATATTAAATTGTGTTTGATTACTTCTGAAAAAATTAAATTGCAACAATAGTTATTTACAGAGGACCTAAATTATACATAACTTTTCTTCAAATAAAATGTGAATTTTAAAAAGTGATAAAGGTCCGCATCAGGTATGTCACGGGTTACTTGAACCCGATCCCAGAAAAATTTTGAAAACCCGACCCGAAACCCGACCCGACATTTTTCTCAACTCGTGACATCCCTGGTCCGCACAAAAGTGGTGGATTTATTAAATGGTACTCCATAGGATATATTTTTGATCTGATAAAGGATTAGAAATTTTGCCCCTTTTTGGGGCAAAATTTTATTGTTAATCTTAAAAAGCAAATCTTTTATGCAACAATTAAGATAAAAGATTTTTCGGAGGAAAGGAATCGGGAATCATGATTAAGGATGTCCTAAACGGGGACGGGACGAGTATCCAGTAAAAAGTAGCACAACTAGCTTGGCCTGTAACTGTTAATTTATTTATATTTTCGGCTTTAATTGGGGAATATTCTATTGGACAACCACACATTTTTTTAATTCTGTTCATTCAATTTCCGTTACTCTCTTCAAGTTTATTAAAAAATATTTTCCCTTCCCTGTTTAATAATTTTTCTAATGTCCCAAATAATTAAATTAACATCTAACTTACCGCTTACGTCGTCAAGGTCATTTTGAAGTGCGAGAAATGGATCGGCCAAAAATGAATTATTTTCTTTAATTAATTCTTCTTCTTCCTTTTCCCCTTCTTCACATTTTTCTTCTCTTTTCCTTTTTAATTTGTTCAAATTATTTTGATTAGAATTTTGATGATTTTCAATTTTTGTATCTATTCCTTCTACTAATAGGCAGTCATTGACACAGCCCTCTAGGCTGTCAAGCATTTTATTAAATTTTTAATTTGTATAAGTAAATAGGCAGTTTAGAAGAGTTTAATTATCTAAAAATTATTTTAAATTTTGTTAAGAATTAATTAAGGGAAAAATATCATCTTTTATCTCCAGTAGAGATGAGGTAGGTCTTGGGATTAGCCTTGGGATTTCCTGTATCCAGGGCACAGACTTTGGCATTTTTAAACTTCTCGAGTTTTACTTGAACTCCAAACCCTGAATATGGTCCAATTCAATGAGTTATACACATAATCCTAACATGGAAAATAATCCAGGTCGAATTTACAGGTTATCCCAAGTAGTGATCGAACTGTGTAAGGGCTAATACCCGAGGATGTCCTGTTGTATCAAGAGCACGAATCTAGTCATATTTGAGATTTCGAGTTTCCTCTGAACTTCAAGCCTTGTAGTTGACCCAAACTAGTGAATTCCAAAATTGGTCCAGCCCAGTAAAATAGTCTAGGTCGTTCAGGATCTTGATCCCACACAGCCTTTTTAACTAGGTATTTTTATGAAAATTAATACTCCCCAGGCTGAGTCGAATAATACCAAAATAAACAATTATTTTGGTATCTCCACGAGATGTATGACTCAAAGCAAACAAAAATGAAAGGAAAATTGTTTAAAATAATTAAATTTCTGGAATATTCTGACCATAAAATTTTTTTATAAATTTTTGTAAAAATTAAATTGAATGACAAATAAAAGGCAGGATTATTTAGGTAATTAAAAGCATCATTACTCCCCTCGTGCTTATTGAAGGAGCTTCCAAATAAATTTATTTTACTGTAAAATTGATAAAAATTGCACACAAGATTGGCATTAGAAAGAATTTTTTATAAAAATTTTTTTTATTTTTGTTTTTTATGACAGTCAACTGATTATTTTTAAAGCTAAAACGTCTTCAAAAGGATGTGGAATGTGTGTAGGTTTATATCAATTTTTGCATGTGATGGGTAAATGAATTTGGCAATTGAGTGGTGAAAGGGTAAACTCGTAATGGTCAAAAAACAATTAATTGTTTAAATAAGAACAATTAATTGGTTAGTGCAAAAAATTAATTGATCAAGCTATAATGGTTATTAGCAGAGGTGGGTCGTAACAGTCAGAAGTGTCGGAAATCGAAAGAGCAGGAAATCGGAACTGGCTCAAAACTCGGAAATCGGAAAACAAATTTTTTTTTCGGAACTAGGAAATCGGAAATCAAAATTTTTTCGGAACTCGGAAATTGGAAATGAAAATTTTTTTCGGAAATCGAAGTCGGAATTCATCTGATAATTAGTCTGATTCGCCTCCTATTAAATTCTTATATCCGTATCTATATAAACACGCTTCCAGGGGTAACGTTAGTTCCCAGCCTATAAAATTGCCTAGAATGGCCTATAAATTATGAAATTTTGAGAACATTCAGATAACACTTTTGGCTATGTTTCTGCAAAATTTCATAATTCTAGTTAAACTTTTGACCCTTTTATAAGCTCTTATCCTTCCAAGGACGCCCACAACGCTTGCACCCTAATTATTGCCAAGTCAGCATTTTATTTTTGAAATTTTTTTTGATTATATTTTTGTATTTAGATGGAAATAAAGCAAAAAGGACAAAAAATAATAAATGAAGCCTTTACTTGTATTTTTAGGTTTTTCCTCAAATAAATTGTGTTATCAGTATATTTTAGTTTATATGTTTATAACCCAATTTTTTTATTTTATATAAATTGTTTGTTTGCTTATTCTAAAGATTAAAGAACTAATTGAAATTGACCGTTTTTGCAAAAAATAGTCAATAAATAATTTTATGGTTTCTGGAGTTTTTTGCGATTTTTTGCCATCTTATCAAAAATTGCCTTTAAACAAAGAGCAACTACCTTGCTAACTTCTGTTTTACACAAACTTTGAAAATAAAAGTTTTAAATAAAAATTTATATAAATAATTTGGAATATACAGAGTAGTATTTTTATTTTGTTTTGAGGTGCGCATAAATGTGCAGAAATTTGTAAAGTATACAATAGAAGCACTAGCTTATCAGTGATTCACAAATTGATATTTGAGAAAATTGTAAAATAAATTTCCAAAATACCTAGTATGACAAATGGTAGTATAACTGTAAAGCATATAGCTATTTGATTCCTAAAGCTGTGCAGTAGGCGGCGTGGTGTAATGAATAACACATCAGTCCGATCTACTGAAGATGCTGGTTCTCCTAGCCGCCGAATAACCTTTTGCACTAGCCAAAAAAGAGAAATAGCTAAACTTAATTAAGATTGAGATAACTAGAAACTTAGATTATCTGTAAGATCGGAATAACAAAGAGTAGGTTTGCCGGCCCGGTCTGGAAGATCGAGTCGGGCATCGAATTTTGGCCCAAAAAAGACTCGGTCGGGCCGGCCCGATAAAAATGAGGCTTGAAAAAATGACGAACGTCGGCCCGACTCAAAAACGGCAACCTTAACTAAAAGTATTGGATCTAAGATAACCAAGAGCTTCTACTGTATGTGCAAAATATATACTTAATTTAAATATAATTAAAAATCATCCAAAAATAGCAGTTTCCTTCTTTGGGAATTCAATATCGTCCTCAACAATATTTTCAGTCTTTGGGGGAAATCCTCCAAATATTGTTTGCTGTTGTTCTTTGTCTGCCCCAAATATTGGTATTTTTGTGTCAATTATCTCCATAGGTTCGTGAACAAATTGGAAAGGCCCTCCTTCTTTAAATTGTTGGACACAATGCCCGTGACCTCTCAATATCCATTTTGTGGTTAATAAGCCTTCTACACCTACTGGGCCGCGGGCATGGATACGTCCGGTGCTGATGCCGACCTGTGATAGATTAGAATATTTTCTGTTTAAAAACAATAGGCATTTATTGTCTTGAATATCCAAGGATATATCCAACGATATATACTTATATTACGATGGAAATTATGAAAAAGAAGGAAGGATCTGTTTTCTGGGTCCGATCCCCATTCGATCTGTAGTCTCGGACCGATCTCTAGCCTGAACTAAGAACAGCAGAAAGCCATCGAGTTTAGCCTATAAAGGAACTCAAGATTAAGAACCCTTGATTGGGTACTCAATTGGTCTGATCTCTAGTTAAATACCAGAGAACCCCAACAAATAAATCTTAAACCAAACTGGATTCAGTTTACAATTTAATGACCAAATATTTACCTCAGCACCCAACCCAAACCGATATCCATCAGCAAAGCGTGTGCTTGAATTGTGAAAGACGCAAGCGCTGTCTACTTGGGTTAGGAAATAGCCTGCTGCTTTGTCTTTAATTTAAATTTTTATTTTAATAAATACAGAAATTAATAACCGTCATTTGTCACAATCGAATCTGTATGTCCACTTCCATATCCTTTAAAAATAAAATAAAAATAGTATTTATGTGTACTCTAAGATTTGCACCAAAATTGCCGCTAATTACAACAATTTAAACACGCTCTAAATTTACTGCACTGAACCGGCCTTGAATTTAATTGAGAGAAAGCTCGGTCAGGATTCGTCATACCCCCAATTCGTCCCACAATGTAAAATCTCAAAATTTATCCAAGTTAATAATTAATAACAAACTCACGAATAATATGAGAAACAGCCTCCTCCACATTATCCACAACTTCAAGTGTGCATTCTAACCGGCCATATTCGAATTTAAGCGACTCAGCTGCCGGAGGTCCAAATTTAAGTAATGATTGGAGTTTGGGTCCAGCATGAAGTTTAACACCTTCTGACTTGAGCATTCCACAGAGCTAAAAATAATTAAAGTTTAATTACAATTGTGATTGTATTTTTCTGTAAATTATTCACTTTTACTCTCTCGTTAATTTTCATGAGGGCCTAAGGCACCCATCATGGATGGGTCGGCTTGAGAAAAAATGCGGGCAAGGTTTAGTGTTGAATTTTCAAAATATTCTTAAAATCAGGTGCGAGTATTAGCTCGAAAGCAGACCCATCCCTGGCAAACATTAGTCCTCCCTGGGGTCTGATTCTAGAACTAGGGGACGGAAAGTTTGGCTCTTCAGTTCGATTCCGAATATCCGAGATTCTATATGAACCAACAATCATATTTCTATATTCTACTTTGATATTTAAAAAACAAACGCTGTCAAAGAAAGGAGTGTTAATATGATCTCGATGAACCAAAATAGTTTCTACAGCATTACAAGCAGCAGGGTAATCACATTTAGAATCCCTAACAATATCCAAAGCCATCTTCTCATCACAATTTCTGTCAACAAAAACGTGGCAAATACCCTCAGCATGTCCGAGAACGGGGATTCCTTTGCTCAATTCTTGCATTTTTCTGACTAGGTCTGATGAACCTCGAGGAATTACCAAGTCAATTAATTCTGAAAATTAAAAATTATTTTAATGAGATTAATGTTAATGGTTTAACTAGAGTAAGTCGAGTACCGAGTAATTGGGGAAAAATCGAGTTCGAGTAATGCCAAGTTTGAAACCCCCGAGTCCGAGTACGAGTAGTGTCAGGCTCGTTTCTCTCCCCATATTTAAATTGGAGACTGAACTGGGAGGACCATTCTGAAATTGGGATTGCTAGCACTAGATTTTTGATCGAGATTTCGTCTCCTTAAGATCTCCATTCTAAATGCACTTCTATGTGAGACACTTAATGTTTTATTTGTTAGATCCTCCTTAAAATATCAAAAACACCTCTAAGTTGCAAAAGTTCAGCAACATCTTCTCTCGATCTAACCAAAGTAACCGCATCCCTTAATTCGTAGCCTTGCGTTCCCAAAGCTTCTTGTACCAAAGAATGTAGCAATTTATTTGTCTCTTCAGCTTCTCGACCCCCTTTGAGCAATAAAGAATTTCCTGAAGCCATTGAAAGACCGGCAACTTGAGGAAGACAATCTGGTCTTGATTCGAAGATGACAAGGAGAGAGCCGATAGGGACCGTTGTTTGCTCCTTAAATGTTTTTTATATTTTACAAATTTAATTAAATAACAATTATAATTATTATTCGCCTTATTCCCACTTATTAAAAGCTGCTAACAATTAAGCTTTTTCAAGCCTTAGATAAAGAAATTGTAAAAAAAAATACAAATTGTAAAAAGTTTTAATTACAAATTGTAAAATTTGTATTATTAGAAAAAGGTTTCCGGAAAAATTTTCCAGCCGGAAATTATTTTATTTTTACAATTTGTAAAAAAGTAAATATATTCACATATCAATTCTTCCGGAAACTTGTTCCGGAAAACTACAAATTGTAAAAAGATTTCATTACAAATTGTAAAATTTGAATTATTAAAAAAAGCTTTCCGGAACAATTTTCCGGAAGGAATTTATTTTGTTTTTACAATTTGTAATGTACATATTATTCATTTTTACAATTTGTAAAAATAAAATAAACTTTAATCACAATTGCAACTAGTATATTTAAATATTTTTCTTACGGAAAACTTTGCAGGAAAACTACAAATTGTAAATAATTTTAACTTCATTTTTATTTTATTTTTACAATTTGTAAAAAATAAACATTTCCAGCAATTTTAGTTGATTTATTCCTTCCGGAAAACTGTTCCGGAAAATATTCCTTCTCTAACCCTAACCTATTTAAATTTACAATTGTAAATTCAATTACCTTAATAAAATAATTAAATCAGACCAAATATAACTGTTCTGCCAGCTTAGTTCTTCTCAACACCCTCCCAATTAGGAAACGTGCTGAATCTGCTATTTGATTCAATCCAGCATGTAAATCCATTAATTTTCCTTTTGTTATTTTCAATCTATCCAAAAGTGCCGGTTCCAACTCCTCAGCTGTAGCGTTATGAAGATCTGCCCTATTTGCTTCTATAATGTCACTTTCACGTGCTAAAAGTAAATCGGCCATGTGTCGAACCATTTTTGCACGGTCCTCGTTGGAAATGTTAGCAAGTAGACGGCCGCTCTCTTTCGCTGCAAATTATGAATTTGTAAAAAAATTACAATTTGTAAAATTTTAAAAATTGTATTGATGTATAAGCTATTCACCGTATTTTTTCTAATTGAGCGACATGTCGCTCTATCTTTCAATCCCCACTAAAAGTGTCGTTGTATTGGAGGCTGTCGTTCAACTAGAGTCCGTCGGTCAATTAGAGGAAATACAGTAGTTACATTTTTAAAAAATTACAAACTGTAATTACAATATGTAAAAATATTTATTGTAAGTACAATTTTAAAATTACAAATTGCAAAAAAAAATCGCAAATTGTAATTAAATTTGCTAAAATTGTAATATACCCTCTTGTCTTACAGAATATTCTAATTACAATTTGTAAATTAATTCTAGCTTCTAATACAATTTGTAAATTTGAAAATTTTCACCTTTAGCAGCAATTTGTTCAACAGGAGTGCCTTCCTGTAAAGAATCGCTACAAAACATCGTTCCAACTTTCTTTCCATAAACTACAGAAGTTATAGCATTGTTTAGTAATCCGTTGGTGATGACTGTAGCAACACCATGTTCCAATGCTTTCACGCATGCTTGCACTAATAAAATTTTTTATTAAGAATTTTCAATAAAATTGAGCAAATTTTCATTATTTTTTGCTTTAAAATCAACAAAATTTTCTCAAAAAATTTTTTCGAAAATTATGGAGAGTGTTTGGCGAGTGTCTTTTGCTCTCGTCGTGCAGTGCGCCCGTGCATTAATTAAAATCATAAAAGTGCACGTGCGTCTGATTGTGAGCTTTAACCTCTGCGCGAATCCTGACCTTTGGCCTCCATTCCTCCAGTTCCATATTTTGAATTTGAACCAAAGGTTACCGAGCTAGATTCTGTTGGGCAATAAAAGTTGAGCAGACGAGAGCCTTCTTGTTCTGGTGGACCGCTATAGACACCATTAACGTTGCTTAGGATAATTAAAAGATCAGCACTGATTTCGCCAGCAAGACGGCTAGCTAAAGAATCGTTGTCGCTTATGTGCTTAAAATAAATTTTGTAAATTTATTTTTACAATCTCTGTTTTATGTTTAGTTTTTAATAAGTTTAGGAGAAGAATATAGGGTAGGTTACCTCTTGAAACTTTTATTACAATTAAAGTGTTATCCGGCCACCTGTGAATAAATATTCGGCCCTAATTTCAATTTCAGATATGTTAACGTTCTGATCAGGACATCTTAGAAGACACTGGGGTTAATAAAGACCCTTGGGGATCCTTGTTCTTGAGTACTATACTATCTTCCAATTATAGCCATAACGGCCGGTTAATTCAGCCCTTGACGGCTTAAATAAGTAATTTTGAGATGCCACCCATATTTTGAAAAATCAGTCAAAATATCTGATTAAATTACCATATTAAGCTTAGGATCAGGTGCTACAGCATCATTTGCATTAACTATTGGAATTATATTGAGACGGAGTAGGCTTTCAATCGTTGCCTGTAGGTTACGTCTGCGTTGAGGGTCGTCTATATCTGGCTTTGTTAGCAACACCTAAATATTTTAAAATTTATTAAACATTTTTTGATAAAGTTGGACTTCAATCACTCTATGTTGCCTTCGTTCTACAATTTTATGTTCCATTAACTCTATAAGACTGTGTTCCTTTCACTCTATAGCTGTGTTTCCTTCAACCCCCTCAGTCTATAATCCTTGTTCACTTGGCCCTATAAAGTAATTCAACCTAAAAAGGATATGTCACTCCCCGTTCTGAAGGATATGTTCCCTTCACCCTATAAAGGCTTTTCACTCCATAAACTTATGTATATTCCCGATCCGAACAATTTTATGTTAAAAATATTTTCCTCCTTTTCTACCTGCGCTACAGTAATTCCATATTGTTGAAATAATTGTTCATACAAACTCATCAATCCTGGCATCCCGCTAGCTGCGCATGCTCTTTTGTCTGTCTGCATTCCAGCTGGGCCTCGAAGTGTTTGTCTCATGGACATTGACATAACCTAATAGAATTTTCAGTTTTATAGGGGTCTTAGGCTTTAAAAACCAATTCTTGTCGCAGTTTTTGTCTTCCAAAAGCGACAGCTCCAGAGGAGACAATAAGCATTTGACGGCCACTTTGTTGAAGTTCAGAGACCTTTAATTAGAATAGTCTCCCTCCTTCGGAAAATTCCAATACCTGTTCAACAATACTTGCCAATCTTCCCAAAGCCAACCCACATTCATCATCTCTAGTAATTACAGCACTTCCCATTTTTACAACAATTCTTTGGGCATTTTTCAATTCTTCACGGTGGTTGAAGGCAGATTTATTTCCACTTCTAGCAACAACTGATTGACTGACTGGGGATTCTACATGACCATCTGGACCATAGGTCAGGCCAACCTGTAAAAACTTAAATTTCAACGCGAACCATTATTGGTTCTTTGTCTAATTAAATAATTTAAGGTGATTTCTTATGTTTTGGATTAGCAGAATTTTCGATCGCATTAGGTGTCCCTTTGTACAGTATATGGTAATTGGAGAGAATTTGTTTCATACGGTCTAGCAAATAGACTGGAAGAACTTGCTCCATACGGACTAGGTTAGCAAGTAAGGAGTAGACGTGGACTGAAAAGAATATGTTCCATACGAACTAGGAGTAGGCTGGAAGGAACATATCCCCTACAGACTAGAATATGAGCTTAAAATAACTTGTGCCGTAAATACTAGTATTAGGGTGAAAATATGTCCCATACGGACTAGGAGTAGGCTGGAAGGAACATGTCACCTACAGGCTAGAATATAAGCTAAAAATGAGTTGTGCCGTAAAGACTAGTAGTAAAATGAAAATATGCTCCATACGGACTATGAGTAAGCTGTAAGGAACAAGTCCCCCTACAGACTAGAATATAAGCTAAAAATAACTTGTGCCGTACTGACTACTAGCAGTTTTTTAGTATGTTCCATACGGACTAGGGGTAAGCTGGAAGGAACATGTCCCATACGAACTATGAAATTGTCCTGAGATAGTCATAATCTCCTAAACTTACGGCAGGTGTAGCAGTACTCAACAAATCTGCTGCATTCCCATCAGTTAAAACAATAGGGACGGTATCAGCGTGTACCATACAGCCATAGGAACGGGCTGCAGAAGTTGTTAGTATTAAAGGATTTAATGCTGTTATAGAGTGGCGGATGGATTTAGATAAAATAATTTGGCGTAATGTGGATGTTAGCATTTTTATTTTTTAATTTTTTAATAAATTTAATTTTTAAATGTATCTGTGTTTGATAAAAATTATTTTTTGATTAAAATAAAAAATAATATAGATTTTCTTTAGGGAAGGATGAAAGTTGGATGTGGTGTTTACGTTTCGAAATTTTTATTTTTATTACGAAATATGTATGTATTTAGTGTAAGGGAATAGATTGGAAAGACTGAGGCGCGTCAGAAATTGTGTGTCCATTCAGAATTCGGGTATCTCAATGATGTTTGCGATTAGAAAATATTTAGTGATTAAATTATAGATAAAAGGTTATTTGACTCTGGCTACAGCAGTTGTAGCAGATTATTGTAGGTTACCTGCTACTGCTAGGTTACCTGCTAGGGGACGTGGAGACAAAAGCCATGGGGAAGGGGTAGGAGGGGAAGGAGAAGGATAATTTCGCGAGGAGATTGAGAGAAACTGGCCTTCCCGTCCTCGATTAACAGCATTAAAAAGGACGGGTGGCAACCCTAGATCAGTGTAATGCGAGTCCAATGTACCATATGGTTATAATTTATCATTAAATTTTAAATGTTAAAATGAAAGTCTTTGAAAAATAGAAGATAATAAATTCCCCTATTTTAATATAAAATTAATTGATTGCCTAAATTTATTATTAATTAATTACTGATATGTAACTATATACCCTTTTTTAGTCTTTTTTATTACCTAGAAGGTAGACATCAATTTTGAGTAAACCCCAATTTATCAACAAATACAGATGATCAAAAAAGGAAAAAATTAAACAAAAAATTTATCATGTCCCAGAGGTTTTAATAAATCCAAAAGTCTAAAATAAATCCTGAATCAAATCTCAGAGGTATTAACTCAATGGGCAGTTTAATTCATAATAATTTATGAATAGAGATCAGAAAATACCAAAATCTAATTCGAAGAGAATTCTTAAAGTTGAGAAATTATTGGATTATTGGACTCGGATGAAGTTTAAATTTCCCATTCGACCAATCTCTAATTAAGGATTATCCAATCCTTAACAGCAAGCCAGGATTAGGGACGCTGTTCTTTTTACGCAGTTCCTGTTCTTTCAAGGTGTTAACGGGTATGGAATTCACGTGAAATGGGACGTTAAATCAGGTTAATAACATACCGCTAGACTGTATTGAGCGGTTATGTCAAGCCTCAACCCAACCGAAATATAGCAGATCTTAGTTTAGTTTAAATTATTATTTTTCTGCCATTTTTTGGTAGCCTGGCATTCCGTCATTTTACTCAGTTCCCAATTTTTCAAAGTAAAACTGCCCTTTTTTGTTCCTAATTTAACTTTGGTTTATAAAGAACACTATCAATTTACCAAAAATTTTTTCTTTAATTTTTATTAATTAATTAATATTCCCCTTCTTTCTCTCCTTTATTCAACCATCGCAAATGCTTACGTATTTATACTTTCGTCTTTAGCGAAAAACTGCTAATCAAAATTGTTAACCAAAAAAATAATTATTATTAGGAGAAAGATAAGCAATCGAATGATTAATTAATTAATATTAATTAAAATATTTCCGACAGAGTAGAGAAAGGAATTTTTATTTTTATTTGTTTTTTTATTACTTCTCCCTCCCTATAGCTTAATAAAATTATCAGTAAATTAATAAATTCGATTAAGAAGCGAATATTGAAGGACAGCAAATTAGGAAGATAGGAATGATGATTAAAAATAAATTTTGTAAATAATTTTAAAATGATGATAGAAAGAAAATGATAGTTTAGGGGAAGAAATAAAATTTTATTTAAAATGAAAAGATTGAAAAATTCTTTAATTAAACATTAAAAATTTTTACCGAAATACCGATACCGAATACGGTACCGAACAATTTTTAAAAAATCGGTATTTTTTCGGTATCAGTATTTTACCGAAAATACCGATACCGAAAAATCGCGTTTGACCAACATTATTAAAAATAATCTTGTAAGTAACACTAAATATTAAGGTAAGAGCAAGTATTTTTCAAGAGCGATAAGATTTAATAGAGTTTAAACAGAGATGTGCCCTACTGAATTTTAAAAATGGAAGATGCAGGAAGGATGAACAAAATAATAAAAATGACGGACCGAAAAAACGAGGGATCAAAAAGGGGGAATTAATAGTAAAATGGGAGAGACGACTCCGAACGAAAGATCGAGTCGGGCCTAAGATATTTTGCCCGAAAAAGACTCATACAGGTCTGACATAAAAAACAAGCCCAAAAAATGGACCGAACGTCGGCTCGACTCGAAAATGAGACCCTATTTTTAAGCTATCTTTATACATAATCTAAGAAATAATGGAGTAAAAATAGAATAAATTTTATTTATGGGGAAATTTTCTATTTTATAGACCAAAATTATTTTTGATATCTGTTTATTTTTAGGGAATACCTTTATTTATTTTTAGGAAAACCTGTATTTTTAGGAAAATTTTGTTTCAACGAAACAAAATTTTGGACAAAAATAGGCAATACCAAAAATAAATTTTTAGGGTTTGTAAAAAAATTGAAGAGATCGTTTTTTGATTTAACAGGTAAATAAAGAGTGAAAGGGAGAACGGGAATGGAAAAAAGGAGAAGAATGATTTTTGTGGAAAGCAAACACAGAGCAATTAATTAATTAATTAATTCTGTTTATTAATAAATTTAATAAGGGGGGGGGGGGGAACCTTTTTTTATTCTTTCCTCCAACTTTGTGATTTTTAAAAATAAAATTTTTGGTGTAATAAATAAATTTAGTTGGGGGTTTAGTAAGGGAGGAGGGGAAAACCAAAAAAATTTCTCACAAAAAATATTTTGTAGACCGGTCAGAAAAGACACTAAAGTTGATGGAAATCGGAACTATCAGAAATCGGAAATGTATAATGATCAGAAATAGAGTGACTAATGACAGACCGGCCTCAGGCGAGAAACACAACCAGAGCAATTAATTAATTTGTTTATTAAAAATAAATTAAATAGAAGGGAACCCTCTCTTTTTCCTTTCCCCAAACTTTGTGATTTATAAAAATAATTTTTTGGTGTAATAAATAAATTTAGTTGTTGGGGTTTTACTAAGCAGGTAAATAAAGATGGGGAGAACGTGAAAAATAAATGATTTTTGTGAGAATCAGAGGTCGGTTGGAAATAACTATAGGAACTACTGAAAAACGTAAATGGCCCAAAAGTAGTAAACTGGAAATCGGGAATAAATTGAGAAATTGGAATTCCGACAGACATTAGTTGAAAGCACAGAAAGAGCAATTAATTAATCAAGTTGGGCTATTCAAAATTAATTAATTAAGGAAAATTTTTCATTTTCTTTTCCTCAACTTTGTAATTTTTAAAAATAATGTTTTTGGTGTAATACTTATAAATAAGAGGAACACAAGAAAAAATTTTTTGAAGAAAATATGGTCTAAAGGTGAACGTCTAACAGGTATTTATAGGTTCGAGAATAAATAAGAGGCAATGAGAAATTTTAATTAAAATTAATGGTCACTAAGGAAAAGTTTAGTCTCTCCAAGAAAAAACACAAATTTAGAAGGGTAAAAAACTTCTTTAAAAATTATGAACACAATTTTGAAAGAATAGAAAAATACGAAATTTAATTTTAGAATTATTAATTTTAAAATATTTTAAATTATTTATTTAATTTATTTAAATTTATTTTTAATTTATTTTTTATTTTTAATTTATTTTATTTATTTTAATTTATTTTTTAGACAATTCTATTTTTAAAAGTAGGAGGTGGAAATTAAATAAATTTTATGCGAATTCGGTATTGAGACAGGAGGAATGTATTTACATAATATATTGGTCAGGGGCGGGCGCATGAGACAATTACCAAAACAAAAGACGATGTTGCAAATAAGTTCCGACGATTCCAAGAAATACACATTTTTAATTCTTCCCAATAATTTACTGTAAGCTTTAAACAATTATAGATCTTATATTTTTTCCAAGCCTTTTGCTTGCCTTATACAGTGCGCGTCATAACTATACGTCCACTCAAGATTTTGGGTTTATCAAGTTAAATCGCGATAAAATCAATTAAAATATATGGCACTATATGAAATGAAGTCCCAAATCAAATTTTTTCCATCTTCCTTAAAATGAGTAATTTCCTTTACATCTCTCTCTATTTTTGATTTGTGCCGTAAGGCTATAAATGCAAAATGATTAACTGAACGTGTGTGTTCGTGTGAATGACCGTGTGTTTTCTCTGTCTATATCCGTCCGTGTTTGTCTGACCGAGTCGTCCGAACCGGTTCTAAACCGGTTCCGGACCTTTACCGGTTCCACGGACTCGGACGGGCTCGGACAGACAAAACACGGACGAACTCGGACGGACAAAACACGGACGGACACAGACAGAGAAACAGACACACACGGTCATAAATACACAAAACACACACGTTCGGTTATAGCCTTACGGCAAAAATCAAAAATAGAGAGAAATGTAAAGGAAATTACTCATTTTAAGGAAGATGGAAAAAATTTGATTTGGGACTTCATTTCATATAGGGTCAAAATATATTAAATGGGGATAAGACGATCCTATTCCTACTAGCTTAAGTAATCATTCAAGTATCTATCAACAAATATAGTGATTTTAGAAATTTATGCCAAAACTTACGCGTCATAACTATACGTCCACTTCTATTTTCGACATTAGGGGTGGTCTGAAAAATCTACAAAAATTCCTGAAAACATATTTATTGATATCAATAGAAAATACAAAAGAAACTAAGTTCTAATATATCTCCTTCATTTGTTGATAGATACTTGAATGATTACTTAAGCTAGTAGGAATAGGATCGTCTTATCCCCATTTAATATATTTTAATTGATTTTACCGCGATTTAACTTGATAAACCCAAAATCTTGAGTGGACGTATAGTTATGACGCGCACTGTATTCACTTTTCTTCACTTAAAATATAATATAAGACTTTACTTTTTCTTAAATTTTTTATATAAATTTTGTTTGTGCTTTAAAGATACATTGTTTTCACTTGTTGAATTAAAAAAATATAAATTTTTTGATAAATTTGTGGGAGTCAACTGAATAGTTACTACAGACGAAAAAACAACACAAGGCCAAAAATCAACGCAAAATGCAAAAATCGAAAATTTTTTAGAAATTATTAGCCATTTTTCAATTAAAAATTGAGGTATCACTAAATGCCAGCGAGTCCTACTCGATTTTTTATAAAAATAAGGGTTTGGATGGATATGATTCGAGTGATATCGTGGATAAAACGGATTATAAAGCTATCAGATGCTCTAGAAGGAAATTGAGTCTAAACTTCTTTTTTTTTTTAACATTTTATTCGAATCTTTCTTTTCTGTGCTTAATTATTAGGAAATTTGTTTTCTCGCTTTGCACTTTCCTTTCAATGAATTTTTATTTATTTTGATATTTAAAAACGAAAGGACGACTGCACTTTGACATTTCATAATCTGTCTTTTCGATGTCTTGATACTCTATCTTTATTGCCCTTTTATATGTACATTCCCACAGATTTACATTTAAATAAATTAAATTTTAATATTCTTCTTTAATTATTAAATAAATTTTAAAATTTGTTTAAGATGAAAATTTTTAACTTTTTAACCGTTTTTATTTTCTATTGGTTATTATGGACTTTTGTTAAAACTGTTTCTATTCGAAAAAGTTTAGCTAGACGTGCTGAAAAGGAGTACACGGCAAAGGATAAAATATTAAATGATGGGGCTGAATCGTCGGTCAATCCTCAAAAGCAAAGATATAAAGAAACGTTAAAACCAAAGTTAAAAATTACAAAGGAGACAGATAAAGGAGGAGACAAAAGTGAATATATGAAAATTTACCGTCAAAAAAATAAACAAATGTTGCATGAAAAAAATCGAAATTACTATGAGAAAAATAAAGAAAAAACTAGGAAAAATATGAAGATTTACTACCAGGAAAATAAGGAAAGAATACGGAAAAAACAGAAAATGTATTATAAAAATAATAAGGAAAAGCGTAATGAATACAAACGAAAATACCGACTGAAAAAGAAAAACATTCAATCTAATAATAATGAAGGAACTTCATCTGTTAATCAACAGACTGGTGATTCAGTTAATAAAGGTAAATTGCCAAATGTTTGCGAGGAGCTAGGAAATCTTTCCAATCAAGAGGAGGAAGAATGGAATAATTTTGAGGACGAACAAAATCCAATCGAGGTAGAAGAGCCGAATAAAATTTTTGAAGATGTCATAAAGAATAAAGATTTAAATAAGAAAATTCATTTTTTTGATTTGAACGAAAAACCTGAGGATGAAGAATGACAATATATTAAAGAATGGATGATTATAATTAAAAAGATGATTAATTTAAGAAACTTAGTTTATAGTCGATAAACAAGCATAAATATTTTTTGATTAATACGTGAAAAAATATAAAAAAATATCTTAATTTTTAAAGCGAATCAAATTTGAAATTACAATCGCATTCCCTTTCTTTTTTTTATGAGAACTGTAATCTTATGCAAATTTGTTGCCAAGACAGGGAGGAACGTATCTTGGTAAGGGACAGGCGCATGAAACAATTACAAAAACGCAAAACGAAAAAATCACAGGCAAAAAATCAACGCAAAAATGGAACAAAATTTTTAGCAATTATTCGCCATTTTTCAATTAATAATTGAGGTATCACTAAATGTAAAAGAGTTCTACTTGATTTTATATATATGTACATATAACTTTTGATGGATATGATTCGGAGTGATATCGGAGATAAAAATGATTGTAAAGGTACCAGATGCTCTAGTAGGAAATTGAATTAAAAAGCTTTTTTAAACATTTTATTCAAATCTTTCTTTTTTGTGCCTAATTATTAGGTAATTTGCTTTGCACTTTCCTTTCAATGAATTTTTATTTATTTTGATATTTAAAAACGAAAGGACGACTGCACTTTGACATTTCATAATCTGTCTTTTCGATATCTTGATACTTTATCTTTATGCCCTTTTATATGTACATTCCCACAGATTTTCATTTAAATAAATTAAATCTTATTATCTTCCGTTAATTATTAAATAAATTTTAAAATTTGTTCAGGATGAAAATTGATAATTTTTTGATCGTTTCAATCTGCATTGCAATTTTATGGGCATTTGTTAAAACTGTTTCTATTCGAAAAAGTTTAGCTAGACGTGCTGAAAAGGAGTACACGGCAAATGATCTGACTAAAGTATTAAATGATATGGCTGAATCGTCGGTCAATCCTCAAAAGCAAAAATATAAAGAAACGTTAAAACCAAAATTAAAAAATAAGAAAAAGGACACAGATAATGAAAAAGGCAAATTGTTTAACAAAAGTGAATATATGAAAATTTACCGTCAAAAAAATAAAGAAAAGTTGCTTGAATCTAAACGAAATTACCGAGAACAAAACAAAGAAAAGATACATGAATATAAGCGAAATTACGATAAAATTCAGAAAAGTAAGTTGAAAAATGGGAATAAAACTTACTATCAGAGAAATAAAGAAACACAACTGAAAAAACAGAAAATATATAACCAAAATAATAAAGAAAAGCGGAGTGAATACCAGCGAAAATACCGACAAAAAAAGAAAAACATTCAAACTGATAATAATGAAGGAGATTCATTTGTCAATCTAATGATTGTTGATCATGTTTATAAAGGTAAATTAACGATTGTCTGCAACAGACGTGGGCGAAACGTTTCGTTTCGTTTCGTTGTTTCGTATGTTTCGTATGATTTTTACTGTTTCGTCTCGTTTCGTTACGAAACACTTTTAAATTTGTTTCGTTTCGTTTCGTTACGAAACACCTGTGATTTTTCAACGAAACGAAACAATTTTTTAAGCCTAAACTAAGGCCAAAATCTATAAAATTTACCATCTTTTATTGAAAATTTAAAAAATTTTCGCCTGCGGCGCTGAAAAAAAAAGAATTTCGGCTTCTTGGCTTTCCCAAATTGTCAAAATTTTCGCCTGCGGCGCTGAAAAAGGAAGATAGCAATTACTTATATACTACAAATCCGTTTATACTCCACTCCCTAATCCACATATACATATTACTTAATCGACGACAAATTCTATTACCGGACTCGCATCATAATCTAAAAATTGCGGATTGCGAGTTGCGGAAATACTGGAACCGGAACTTCCGGCGAAGCACTAGCTTATATCGCCTTCCTCTCGAAATGGAGATATGGAGACAATTTGGGTAGGCAATGGAGCAAGATAGTGAATTTTTTGGCCTACGGCCTTTCAAAATTTTAAAATTTTTCGTCTGCGGCGCTTAAAATAAAATTTTACTTGAAAAATATTCAATTTTATTTAAAAAAAAGCGTCGCCAAAAATTTGGCTTCGAAAATGATTGACCCCCCCCCCTTCCCCGAAAATTTTCCTTGCTACGGGCCTGGCTTATGGGACACAATTGTTGTAAATAAACCAATAACTAAATCATTTATAAGTCATAGTCGACTAATAACGTATTTGAGGTCGAATAATTTCGAAATAAATGCAGTTTTGAAAATTTTTTGAATATTAAAATGTTTCGTTTTGTTTCGTTTCGTTTCGTAAGATTTTGGTTGTTTCGTTTCGTTTCGTTAACGAAACGATTTTTAAAAAATTTTGTTTCGTTTCGTTTCGTCAGAAAAAAATTTTGAGTTTCGCCCAGGTCTGGTCTGCAAGGAAAAAGAAAATCTTTGTAATCATTTAGAGGAAGAATGCAATAATTTTGAGGATGAGCAGAATCAAATCGAAGTAGAAGAGTCAAATCAAATGATTGGGGATGACACAAATACAATTGATGCAGATTCAAATGTGAAGACTTTATCCGTTTAATTTGAACGAAAAACCAGGGGATGAGGAATAAAATGATTATAAAAACCGCTAATTAAAATTTAATTTAAAATTTAAATTTAATTTTTATACTTTCTTTATTGTTTTTCCCTTTTCCTTTTTATTTTTGAGCAAATTTAAGATTTTAGTTTTTTGATTGATTTTTCCTTTATAATATTTATTTTTTTATTTTTGAATATTTATTGTTATTCGTCATTATAATTTGCTAGAATTGGTCATAAAGGATTAATAATGGCTTTTTCCTTTTACAACAATTTCAGAGTGATTTACTTCCTTTTTTATTATTTATCGTTATTCATCATTTTATTGAACGAAATGAGCTGTCAGGCTTACTTATGGCTTTTTCTTTTTACAACATTTTAAGCTTTAGTTAGTTTTTTGATTATTTATCGTTATTCGACCCTATAGGTTAAGGATTTTATATATCTTCACACCTGAATTTTTTATTATTGCTTTTTCTTTCCTCGCCATATAAGACGAAAGAATTTAAAATAATTGCAATTTAAAATATCTATTGACTGAATTTTATTTTTAAAAATTCTTTATCGTTATTTCTTATCATAAATACTCTAACCTTATTTTATTTCATCAAATATATTGTATTTTCTATTGTGTATAGACACATTATTGTATTGCTTATTTATTGTTGTACAAGGATACAACAATTACTTCCTCTCAAAAAACAATTTATTCAAATCTTTCTTGTTTTTGTTTAATTTTAAAGTTATTTGTTTTTATGACTTTGCACTATCTTTTCAATGAATTTTACTTGTTTTTATATTTAGTAAAGTAAAAATGTTTGTGAAATTGTCATGTGAGATTTCGTAAATTTCCTGTCTGTTTAATATCTATACTCTCTAGATTTATTGTCCTTTCATTCATTTACTTTGTATATCATTAACTATAAAACATAATTGAGATATTTTCATAATATTTCCCATATTTTCATTTATATAATTTTATTATTTTTATTATCTTATTTTAAGAATAAATTTTCAAAAAATTTATTAGAATGAAGCTTGATAGTTTCTTAATTGTTTCCATAATAATTGCGATATTATGGGCATTTGTTAAAACTGTTCCAATTCGAACAAGTTTAGCTAATAAGGTTGAATTACAACAAAATTACACGGCAACTAAAATTTTAAACGATGGGGCTGAATCCTCGGTCAATCCTCAAATTCAAAAATATAAAGGAATGTTAAAACCAAAATTAAAAAATAGAAAAAAGGACTCAGTTAGAAACGAAGACAAGCTCCTTAAAAAAAGAAAATATAATAATGAATATTACCGGAAAAATAAAGAATATTTTCAAAATTACCAAAAACTAAACAAGGAAAAGATAAAAGCGAATAATCAAAATTACTATGAAAGGAATAAAGAAGCTAAACTTCTAGCAAAAAGTGAAAGAAATAAACTTTATTACGAAAAAAATAGAGAAAGGATTTTAGAAAACAAGAAAATCTATGATAAAAATAATAGAGAAAAGCGGAATGAATATCAGCAAAAATACCGACAAAAAAAGAAAAACATTCAATCTGATAATAATGAAGGAATTTCATCAGTTAATCAACAAACTAGTGATTTTAATAAAGGAAAATTACCAATTGTGAGCGAGGAGGAAGGAAATATTTCTAATCAAGATAAAGAAAACCACAATAATAATGAAGATATGCAAGTTGAAGGGCCAAATAAAATTCCTGAACATAACGCAGTAGATTTGAATAAGAAAATTCATCCTTTTGATCTTAACAAAAAACCTGTGGATGAAGAATGGGACGATTATTAAAAGGAACAGTGGCTTATGAATGAGTGAAGCAAGGTCCAGGCCTCGAGGACAGAAAATCTTCAGCTTTGCTTTCTTTTACTTTGCCGAAATATAATTTTTTACTTTGCCTAATTTAGTAGTTATACTACACATTCATTTTTATTTCTTACTGATAAATTTCCGATTTTCTGAAAGCTTTTTTTATATTCAAGTACCTTGACCCAAACAAATACGTTTAGTTTTTTAACAAAATTTTCTGTATATGTATAAGTAAAGACTTAAAATAAAATAAAACTGGTAAATAAAAACTGGTTAAAACCAATTAAAAAACTGGTTAATACCAATTAATTTATGACAAATTAATCATTTTAAGGAAAATAAAAAGTATTTGTTTTCAAATAATACCTATTTCAATGCTGAACTTATCTAACATTATCCAAATTGCACATAGGGGATTAAAAATGCAAAGGGATTAGGAATGCAAAGTTACTTTTGTTAAATTGAAAAAAAAATATAAATTTTTTGATAAATTTGTGGGAGTCAATTGAATAGCTCCTACAGACGAAAAACAACACAAAGTCAAAAATCAACGCAAAACGCACAAATGGAACAAAAATTTTTTTAGCAATTACATATTAGCCAATTTTCAATTTAAAATTGAAGTACCACAAAATGTCACCGATT